GGTGAAATCACAGCTGTTCAGCCTATTAAATATAATCTCAAATTGGAGGCCTCTTACCATATACCGCGATCAGAAGCACCGCCCGAGGACCGTGCCTTCAAGACACGGGCTAGGGCGTTGTTGTCCGACACGGATATTGTAGGTGCGGTCAATGACGATTTCGAGATTATGCTCGCTGAGGAAGATGTGTACTCGGGTAGGGGTAGCGGATTCACGCTAGCGCATATCGACGGTCTCATGCTCAGTGTGTACAAGTATACGCCCCTCACCGGCTCATCATATATTCCGATCCCACCTGAAATTTTACATAGAAAGGCAATCATCAATCCGCAAAACATCGATCAGTCCTGTTTCAAGTGGGCCATTTTGGCCCGACACGTTGGGGTTAATAATAATACGCGTGTTAATCAAAAATATTTTAACGAGGAACACAGGTATGATTTCACGGGGTTGACGTTCCCCACACCTGTGTCCCAAATTAAAATATTTGAGCGACGAAACCCTAACGTGTCTGTCAACGTGTACGGCTTGGAACGAGACGACGTTAAGATGAAGTGGTCGGTGTATCCTCTAAGAGTCGCCGACCAAGAACAACAAAATCATTTTGACCTGTTGTACATCGGTGACTCTGACAAGTATCATTACGCGTACATTTCAAATTTTTCGAGGCTTGTGCGCAGTCAAAAAACTAAACACAAATGTCGCATATACACTTGCAGACGTTGCTTCACTAGCTTTGATGATCAGTCTAAAAAGCATATTCTTCGGGGTCATCAAGCGTTGGAGCAACACAAGTTGATATGCGGCAAGAACAAGCTTATTTTACCCGTTATGCCGGCGGAGGGCAGTAAGGTCGAATTTGACGCGTGGGTAAAGACTCAACGGTTACCGTTTGTCATCTACGCCGATTTTGAGGCCTTGCTGGAGCAAACAGACGATCGTATGGGTGCATACACCAGGACTGTGCACACCCACCATCCCATGAGCTATGGGTTCATGGTGAAAACATCGGACGATGTGCCCTCCGAGCTCCTCGAACGCTACGGTATACCGCAATCACCGGTGATATACCGTGGGTCCGAGGATCGCGAAGAGGTCGCCAAGGCATTTGTGATGGCTGTAACTGAAGTGACGCGCAACATTTCTAAATTGTTGCGCAAAACCAACGTTCCCATCCGAATGTCTATCGATGATGTGCGCAGGCACGGGGAGAAAGTGGTATGCGACTTGTGCCGCATGGCATTCAAGGATTCCAACCCCAAAGTCGCAGACCACTGCCATCTATCGGGCCGATTCAGACAGACGTTGTGCAATGCATGTAACCTGAAAGTAAAGACGGTCAATTTTGTGCCGTGCTTCTTGCACAATCTTTTGGGTTACGACGCGCATTTCATCGTCACTGAATTGAGGTACGACGACCAAAGGATTTCGGTTATACCGAATTCCGAGGAGAAGTATATTTCGGTCACGAAACACGTGACCAATAACTTCTCCATACGGTTTGTCGACACCTTCCGGTTCATGGCCTCCTCCCTGTCCACCTTGGCCGGTAACCTAATGACACCCGATTTCGTTAAATTCCGAGAGACGGCCAAGGTGTTCCGTCCGGAAGACATGCCGTTGGTAACGCGTAAGGGCGTATACCCTTACGAGTACACTGATAGTTGGGCTAAATTGGACGAAACGGTACTACCACCCCGCGACGCTTTCTATAGTCAGTTGAATGAGTCGAATATCGATGACGACGACTATAGACACGCCACAGAGGTGTGGAATCGTTTCGGTTGCTCAACCCTCGGTGAGTACAGTGACCTATACCTAAAGATTGACGTGCTGTTGTTGGCCGACGTGTTTGAGAACTTTCGCGACATCTGTACTACAACATACAATTTGGACCCGGCGCACTATTATACCGCACCGGGTTTTAGCTTCGATTGTATGTTGAAGTACACCAGGGTGAAGCTGGAGCTCTTGAACGACTACGACATGCTACTGATGGTGGAGCAGGGCATTCGTGGTGGGCTGGTGCAGGCCGTCAAGCACTATGCCAAGGCCAACAATCCAAAGACACCTGGCTACGATCCGACAAAACCAAACTCATGGATCGTGTATCAAGATTGTAAGTATTATATATAAAAGTACAATAATTGAGCTGTGAATTAAAAACGTTTAATGTATATAGGCAATAACCTTTACGGGTGGGCTATGAGTCAGCCCATGCCGTACGGTGGCTTCCGGTGGTATGAAGGATCAGATCCTCTGGCCGACCTCCAATTGCTTTCGGACACTGGTAATACGGGGCGTATATATGAAGTAGATGTATCGTATCCAGAAGGGCTGCATGACGAGCACAACGACTTGCCGTTCTTGCCTGGCAACGATGTACCACCGGGTTCCAAAGAGACCAAACTCATGGCCACTTTGAAACCCAAACAACGGTACGTCGTACACTATGTCAACTTGAAACAGGCGATCGCACACGGACTGCAAGTCGATAAAGTATATACATCGTACCTAGAGCTATTAGCTATGATATTAATATGTTTGTCACACAGGTGCACCGCGTTTTAGAGTTTCAACAAAGTGCTTGGTTGAAACCGTACATTGAGTTGAACACTGAAATGCGGAAACAGGCGGCAAATGCTTTTGAAATATCGTTTTTCAAATTAATGAATAATGCCGTCTTTGGTAAGTGCACGCTCAATGGTAAAGTAGTTGTGAGTTATTTGATAAATATTTATATTTTATAGGGAAAACCATGGAGAACATGCGGAAACGCATCCGCATTGAACTAATCTCCAGTCCCGAACGTCTAAGCAAGCTCGTAAACCAACCAACCTTCAACGACTGTATTAAATACGGCGAAAGGTTGTGCGCCGTCATAATGGACACAAAGATTGTCAAGTTTCTCAAACCAATATACGTCGGTTTAGCAGTGCTTGACATTAGCAAGTCGCTAATGTACAAGTACTTCTACGACGTATTAAAACCTCATTATGGCGACGCAATTAGCCTGGTTTACATGGATACTGGTGAGTACAACCTTGAACTCACTTTAAAGTGAGTAAGACTTGGTGGAGGAGGTTCTTCTTAGGTTAGTTTAGGTTGGGTTTCGTCGTTCCCCCTCCCGTTGCATTATGATAGTTTACGTTGGATTTTACTCCCCCTCCACCCCTCTTCCCATTTCCACGGTGGTGAGGTGGGTGGGTGAAGCGGGGGGGGACCAGAACTCTCTATTTTACCCTACTTTGACTATTCGGAATCAATCTCAACCTGAGTCTGCTGTACTGGCTACATCGGTCTTCAATTTCAGTTTCATAGAACAAAAATTTTTGCATATCGGTTGCACATGGGTAATTGATCGATACGTTCCAATTATAATAATCATAACACCAAGTATGTACTTTTGGATATCGGATGATAAATTTATAAACTTTATAAACATCATTAGTGAACTTATTTCGTTTATGGACGATTCTAGTAAATCAAAAATATATCTGAGTACGATGTTTAATATTGTCAAATCAAAATGTTTCTCGAAAAGTTATTTATCCATATCGAATAAAGGTGTCGAAGAACAGAAAATGGATCGTGTATCATTAACTAACGAAAACCTATTTTGAAAGTAACGAAATGAAACTATGTCTTCTAGAAGTGATAAAAGAAAAATACGAAACTTGTAACTTGCTATCAATGCAGAGTAAAGAAATCAATAAAAAAGCAAAGAATATGGTGATAAATAAGTTTTATTTGTTACCTGAAAATTTAGTCTATTCAATTGTAAAAACCATTAATACGTCGTTATTATCAAAGACGTCTATGGTATTGTATAATGAAATAATCACATTCGATTACAAATGCATAGTGAAGCGTATATGGGAGAAATTTGTATTGGATTTTAATAATCAAACAAATCAGAATATTTTAAACACAATGAATAATTGTGCAGTGAACGGGTAAATATTTATTCCTATTTTAAAATTATTAAGCGTTAAACTATGTATGTTATTTTAGAAATAATACCAATTTAAATCGATCAAAGTATCAATGAGATAACGACAATGATGAAGAGTATACTAACAACGGTGTAATGCATTCATTTGAACAAATTGAAAAAATGGGGATGCTGTGTCATTTGTAAAAATGTTGTTTATGAAAATAAAATTATAATAATCTCATACTTGACGCAGGACAAAATCAAACTCGAATTCATGATAAGGTTTGTGTTTAATATATTTTTTTATTTTAAATTTTATTATGATTTAATTATAATTATAGAATTAATTGTATAATGACGGCGCTTGTATTCAGTCCAGTTCACATTCGTAATATATATATATATTATATTATTATAGGTGATCATATTTCCATTATCAAAGGTATTACTATACTATAACACTCATAAGCATTTGTATTTTATTAGAATATTTGCGACGCCGTCTGTGTATAATTAACATCAAATGTATAGCCACCATTTCTAAGAAATAGTAGTACTAATACTACACTGATTACTATATATCTATTAGGGTAAAAAAGTAGTATTATATCTTAATTCATAAATTATAATATAATATATGATTATTTAGATGTTAGACAATATTACAGTGATGACACTGTGTCGGTTTACCGAACAGCGTACCATGTTTTCTTGGAATCGTATGATCTCGATTCAAGAAGTCTGAACATGTTTAAACCTGACTGAACGCGTTCAAATCCCTGTTCATGTCTGTTTGAACCCCGTCTGAACGTGTTTACAACTGTTTGTAACATACACTATGATCAATAAGTACCGGGAATGAGTCAATAAAACAAAATTAAGTTAATTTTCTTCCAAATTTATTTTATCTCCTTCAAAATAGCTTCCATTTGAAGCGATACAAAGATGCCAGCGCTTAACCCAGTCATCCATACAGCGCTGGAAGGCCTGAGCCGAAATAGCCTTAAGTTCCTTCGTCGCATTCTCTTTAATGGTATCCAGCGACTCAAAATGACGCCCACGAAGCGGCAATTTAAGTCGGGAGAACAAAAAAAGGTCACACGGTGCTAAGTCGGGTGAATACGGTGCTTGTTGAAGTTGTACAACGTCGTGTTTCATTAAATAGTCTTGCACTAGTTTGGCTTTGTGAACTGGCGCGTTGTCGTGGTGTAAAATCCAATTTTTGGCCGCCCACAAATCCGGCCGTTTACGACGCACTGCATCCCTCAAACGCTTCATAACACCGATGTAATACTCCTTATTAATGGTTTGGCCATTTGGCAAGTATTCGAAGTACACATGAGAGTAACTATATTGTTAAACTTAATTATATAATACATTTTTTAAACTGTCATCATTTTAATGTATTAGAAACATTTGTTGACATGATAAATTTAATTATAAATAAGTGCCAATCAGAAAAAGATATAAACCACCAAATCCAATTTCAATACTGCACAGAGCAGTTAGTTGATGTTATAAAAAATTCTACAACCATGTTTATGAAACTTTTGGGTGCTACTACATTTCTAAATCAATTAGATTTGCGAATTATTGATACATTTTTAATAACGCCAAGAGTAATCGACAATGAAATCGAATTATTTTACATTTATACAGATGCTAAAATGAATCGACTAGTATTTGATTATAAAAATAGAATTGTTGATATTTTTGAAGATATAAAAATATTTCATAAAAGTATAGCCGAGCCAACAATACAAAAACTCTACGAATTAAACATGGTCTGTGGTTTTGAAAATAGAAATGAAATTTCAAATGTTTTGATGACAAAGTATGACGTAAATAATATTGATGAACAAAAAAATGACCCAGACGATTTCGTAAATTTAATTTGTAATGATCTTAATACATTTTATAGTCAAATAGCTGACAATTATTACAGGGACCTTGGCTTTGGAGAGCTAGTAGGAACTAATTATTTCAGGTAAGACATTAATTTATTATCTAAATTTCGTTGATTTAAAATATCTTTTACATCACCATTAAAAAACACTTAAATAAAAATTATCAGTCAGATTAAAACTTTTTTTAAATTATTTGCTCGCAAATACACAATTAAAAATATACTCTAAAGTATATTTAGTAAATCAGCTGATTCACTCAGAGTCGTACTAAACTGACAATCTAAAAATTAATGTTTTAAACATATAAATTATGAAAAATATTAAGGCGATTAAAATCAAAACCTATAATATTTTTTTCTTATATAAAAAAACATAATTTTTTCCTGTCCAAGTTATACGTATTCTAAATATTTTTATTAATTGGTCTTTATAGATATGAACATCGTAAGCTTCAAATATATTATAAAGAAGATGGCATTATTCTTTTCAATAATCTTCTTTCTTATCCTGGTTGGCAATCATATCAAAATATAACTACAAAAACCAATGGAAATTATGTTAACATTAAAAATTTTATAGGTTCAATACATAGATCGAATTATAATCATGTACAAATATGTATAATACAAACATTAAGATGTAGGTATTTTGAAATAGCACAAACTTTTAATTCTATGTTGGGTGCTTCAATAAGTGTTTGTGAAAAAGAACACGAAAACCGGTGTGCAACTATACTATTTAAATTTTTAGAAAAAATCAACATTATGTTAAAAAATATGCTTTTTGCTTTGGTTACATTAAGACAAACATTTCAACATACAGCAAGACGATCAAAAAATACTCCAGTTGAAACACTTATAGAATCTTTTATAGAGTTAATTTGCAAATTAAGAAGTAAATATTATCCAGGTATGTTTTTTTCTAGTCAAGGTGTTATTGCAATAATATTGTTCTTCAATGATATCATACAAGAACGCAAAGAAAATTTAGATAATAAATTATACGCAGCCAAAAATTATTATATGAGGTATTTCAAAATGCCATTAAAAATTATAGAAGAAAATTGGTTTAAGGTAACATTTCAACATCAAATTGAAATTAATAATTCACTTGATAACAGATATGGATATATGTGTGATTTTCTATATTCTTTTTGTGATGAAGTTCAAATAAACGATTATGAAAAACTTGGATTTGACAGTTTACCAGACTTACTAAAAAAAGTACATATTTACTAGGTATTATAGTTAATATAGATATAGTTAATTATATTTATTTGATTAATTCCGGTATTTTTTTTTTTTTTAACTAATCACGTAGAATTTTCATATAAAATAAAACAAATTTTAGATCTATAATATTTTTTTAGATTTATACATTGAAATTGTATTAAAATTTTTAAGAGATTTTAGAAAAAAGTATCAATATTTTCATGAATCGTACTTTTAAAACTAGTTTAGTAACATATTTTAATACATGTAATTACTAATACATATACTTAATAAAAATATGTCATCAAAACAGTATTCCCCCATGTTTAAGATAAAGAAATAATAATAATACACTTTTGCATAAAATTCTTCCTTTAAAACTACCCTCTTACGCATTCCATAAACCCCCACGAAAAATATTCTATCACATTGATTAATCAAATCCAACAAAACATAGTTTAAGAATCCTACCACGATTCTTAAAAAATAATTAATAATTCTAAACTACTTTTATGGACTATAAAAGGTAATTTTTCCAAAAAACACGAATTCGCTCTTGGTTTCAATTCTATATCATACTTACGTTTTTGAAAATTCCATCATCAGATGCTGGGACTTACAATAATTCTTACACATCTTATTGTGTAAGAATTATTCTTATTGGGTCATATCCTGGCTGAACAGAGTATTAGCACAATAATATCATAAACAAAGTTTTAATTAAATATTTTAATAATTTAATATTTTTGTTTATTTCATCAGTTAACATTAGTATAGTTCTAACCTTGTACAACTTTTGAAAATTTATTGGTATCTTACAACTTTAAATTAATAATATTAATTTCACAATTAAAAATACACGTTATAAAAGATTTAAATTATAATGCCAATGCAACTGGAGCTGATATTTCATGTAACATCTTAAATATTATTCGTGTTTTAGTAATATGTATTATATGTAACTATTAAATGGACAAAATTATTTTATTCAATTCAAATAAGATATGATGGCAAAAATATATCTAATTTAATATGTGGAATGAATAGCACACATTTCAAATATTTTCGAAATAGAACCCTTAAAATTGATTTTTTTGAAACTTGAACTTACTTACGATATAAAAATTAATTCAATAAATACTTAAATTATAAAATTGTAGATTTTTGTGAAACTTTTAGAATATACTTTAAAGAAAAATCCTTCAAAAATAATTTTAAAATTATTTCTACTTTACAAATATTTAAATAAATACAGATTTAATAAATTAAAAAAAAAATAACTTTATGAAATTATAGTTTCCGCTAAAATAAATTGTGTGAAATTTTGAATTCGTTGTATATTATTTAAGTGCATAATTTAAATGCTTAAAATTAATTTTAATTAAAAATAATTAATCCATAAAAACATGATAGTTATTGTAATAAAAGTAAATGATAGAATTCAGTTACTGAACGCGGTTAAATATATTGTTACATTTATTGTTAGGTGTTAATAAAAATGCAAGATTTGACAGTTAGAATTTAATAATTAAAAATATGAAAAACATTATTTATTGTTGTTATTATTTTATGAAACCACATGTTTTTTGCTCATATATTCAACTATAAATAATTAACTAAAATTAAAGAAGTAAATTATTTATTTATTTTTATCGATTATGTTATCTTATTTACATCTCTACTATTTTATTAGTTCCGTGATTTATAATGAAATCCAGGATATGAGAAAACTGTCGTCATAAAAGTGTTAAAACATTTTTCGAAGCTTCAATTTATTTAATACATTATCTCATAACATTACAATGATTAAATTATCGATAAATAAAAACCCAGCACAGTGGTGTCGCGGTTCAGTGGGGACGTGGCATAGTTGGGTCCAGTATAGATTTAATCTGACAGTGATTACAATCACTATCATAAGTAACGCTTTGATGCAAATCTGTAGATAGTGTTTAATTCTGAGAAATTGGTGGATAATTACAAAAGCAACATCAACTTCTATTTCCTTAATTATATCCAGATTAGTAATTCTTTTACTTATATATTATATAATTTTTATAATTAATTGTTTTCAAATTATTATTGATTTTTAATATTTTAAAAGTAATAATTTTTAACCTATAACCTATACGTATAAGTGTTACTGTAGCACATACACCTACATGTTATGGATACTGAAAGCAAGTTTCTCATCGGGGTGATTGTTAATATACAGGGTCTAATGTCTACGGATCATTCATTTTTGGTTAAAGAATTGTCCGTCATTGCCCTGGACTCTACATGTCTCTCTCACTGGGTGTTCAAACATCCAAACGCTGTCAAGGACGATAAGAAAACTACAAACTGGCTCAAAAAGCATCATCATGGTTTGGATACCACTTTTGGGGACGTTGAATACGATGAATTACCGAGAATAATGCAACTGTTACGCTGCGATACTATTTACGTAAAGAGTGCTATCAAAAAAAGTGTTTTGGAAAAGTATTTACCTAACCAGAATGTAATCGATATGGAAGACTTGGATTGTCCACCGTTATACAATCTATTCTGCTCTACGAAACCATGCTGTGTCCGACACATGAACAACTATAAAATGTGTAGCAATGGTTGCTTTAAGCATAATGCTTTATACAAGCTACAAGATCCATACACTTTTCAATATGTCATAGCATTATATAGTTAAAAATGTAAAAAATAAAATCGAAAATTTTCACACAAAAATAGCATTCGGTAGCCATTTTCAGCGTGAAGATAAAATAAAGTCCGAAATTTTTTTTTACCATAATAAAGTATATTACATTAGCTTTAATTTAAGATATATATAAAAGTGTCAGACCTTCCGGAACATTTTCAAAAGTTATGTTGAAAAAGTAAATTTTTTGTGAAAAAGTTGTCATTTTAAATCCCCCCCTGTGGGCAGTTAAAGGGTCAGATATAAAAAAATATATACCAAATGATAGGTAAAGACATCATGCATCTACAAAAAAAAAAATTATATTGATTACCCATTTTCGCCGTGAAGAAAAGTCCAGAGGTCAAATTTCTTTTTTTCAAATTAAAGTACATTACATTAGCTTTAATTTAAGATATATATAAAAGTGTCAGACCTTCCGGAACACTTTCAAAAGTTAAGTTGAAAAAGTTCTACTTTCTATATGCATTTTTTATATTTGAAGCCCCCCCATATATAGGGAAATAGTCTGATTTAAAAAAAAAGTATATCCAATGAAAGATGTATATAAATACTACTTCTCATGAAAAAATTGTATTGATCCATACATTTTTTAAAAAGTTATAGCACTTTAAAGTAAAAAATGTAAATTATAAAATCGAAAATTTTCACACAAAAATAGCATTCGGTAGCCGTTTTCACCATGAAGACAAGTCCAGAGGTCAAATTTTTTTTTTTCAAATTAAAGTACATTACATTAGCTTTAATTTAAGATATATATAAAAGTGTCAGACCTTCCGGAACATTTTCAAAAGTTAAGTTGAAAAAGTTAATTTTTTGTGAAAAAGTTGTCATTTTAAATCCCCCCCTGTGGGCAGGTTAAGTGTCAGATTTACAAAAAAAATATACCAAATGATAGGTAAAGACATCAAGCATCTATATAAAAAAAAATTATATTGATATGTTCATTTTTGAAAAAGTTACGGCAGTTTTTAGTAAAAAAAATTGAAAAAATTTCGAAAATTAGCGATTTTTAAATTTGTAATTTTTTTGGAGGTTTCCCCCATTTACGGGGAACGAGGGAAATTTTTTCAATTTTGAAGGGTAATGTCTTCGACTAGATACAATTTGTGATCTTTTGACGTATCGTTGAAAGAAATCCGTTCGGTGAGAGCTGAGAAAAAGTGGTAACAGACACAAAAAAAAAAAAAAAAAACACATCATAGTAAAACCAATACCTTCTCAGCTTCGCATCGAAGCTAATAATGATTATCACTTTGTTATAACAGTTTATAAATTAATCAAAATGATCAATAATTTATAATAAAATAATTTTAATGAATGTAAATATAAAACGGTAGTATAGTGGGGTCGCAGCACAGTATGGACGTGGCTAATTGGAACAAGTAAAGATGATATCTGACAGTGAATAAAATCACTATCATAAGAACCGCTTTGATGCAAATCTGTAGATAGTGTTTAATTTTAAGAAATTGGTCGATTATTCCAAAACCAAAATGAACTCCTATTTCCTTATTTATATCCTGATTACAAGATTTATGATATATAAGTGTAATATATAAATAAACATTTAATAAATTTGTTCAACTTCGATGGCTATTTGCACTGTCGTACGTTGGTAGTACCGCGACGTAGACACAAAAAATGTACACAAATTAATTAGTACTTTAAGTATCAAGTTCGTCGTTTTGGCACTTCTCGAGTCCTCTCGTTGGTTACACTGGTCAGCCCCAATTCATCTAATTAGTGAATCACTAAAGAGGTAGTATTTAGACCCGCCAGCATGGTCTAGATTAAAAGTAGTAGACTCAAGTGTGGCTCCTCGTTAGCCACCACCAATCCATCTATTTTTTACCATACCTACTAATGAACGGTTTCCTTTTAAGTTTAAAGTTGCAAAATTAACTTCTTGTATTAAAATAGTTTCTTTAATACATATCATATATTATTTGCTAAAAGATTTACATCAGAATATAACCTAACCGACCGTATTCACCGTGTTACTCTATGTAAATACGCTATTTTAATTAAATTTATTTACAACGAAAATTTTGTGGAAGCACAAAACTTTCCTCCTTTTTTAAATTGTGGACAGCTAAAAAATGTTTAAAAAAATGATTATTATTGACTCGGATCTAGTAAGAATCTCTATTGACAATATGGTGTCTAGTGGAAAGTAGTATTTTATATTATTGGTTTAATCATAGTTTTTATATAAAACTTCCATCGGTTAAATTTGCGCGTGTACATAAACAAAAGTCTTTAACTGTTGAAAATATGGTCAGTTTCCACTTAATTCTGATCAATTTAGAGCTGTGTAGGTATATAGTTAATAGTTGTTACGTTTTAAACATGCGGTGTTTTAAATACCAACATTTTCAAAACTTATATTGTTTTTATGGGACATTTTAAACACTTTAAACTGTCTACTTATGGTTTAATAAGTTTTTTTTTAACGTGTATTTAGCAACTCTAATAGATTGTATTTTGTTAATTATATTTTTTCTTTTTCTTGTAAATATGCTAAATAAATTATTTTGATTATTTATCTACCGACATTTGTTTATCTAGATCTAATTAAGATTTAGACATAAATGGAATTATGTTCTAGTAGATCATAATAATATAATAAGAATTTATTACTTGTGCCTAATATTATTAGAAATATATTAAAAATGTGTTTTTAATTTTAAATAGTAGATCCATAAGCGTAGGTATTATAATTATAACTATGTACAAATGATTATTTCTTACTATTACGATAAATTATTAATTTTGAGACGTGTATTTTGTATTGATTATAAAAAACTAATATATATTGAAATTTTCAATTGTACTATAAGTACTAGTATTTTATTTGAAATAAAAAGAATAAACTAGGTATCGCTCATAAATAACTATTCTTATAATGAAAACGTATTGTAAATAAATTATTTCTTAAATAAAAGTGTTGCAAATTATCAGGCCCGGGTTTAAAAATATCGAAGACAGTTTAAAGTGGAAGTTATATTAACAAGAGTAAACACTAGTGACATTGAGACAACAATAATCATTGCAACATTGTAGTTTTGAGTTTACATATTAACATTTTTTATGATTTAATTGAAGTAGGAATACTTCTAGTCAAAAATTTGTTAGTCTACTGTAATTAAAAAAACTGATGGTTCACGTCATAATGCTTTCTGTGGCATATTTGAAAGATCCATTTGGATTGAAAACTATTTTTTTGACATCCATAATATTGCACATTAATAACAGTTTAATAATACCGCCAAATTCCTATAAATTAATAACTACTGAAATGTTATCTACTTATTTAAACAAAACGTTTGGCTCCGAACAGCATTGTTTACGTATATTAGTAGAAGGCACTCAAAAATCGGCAATTGACAATATTGACATATTGTCTACTTTATATCGTGTTTCATCCAATATGTCAACACCTAGAAATATCGAATTGATCATAAGTTATAATTACTCTATGGTGAACTACACTAAAGGGAATAATCCATGTGCAGCAATTGTTGCCATTGTTGGAAGTCAAATAGGAGTTGAATGGGCTATGGAAGAAGTTCAACATAATTTTGCGGAAAGGATGTTATTGATCGTAAACATGCAAACTTGGAAATACAAATTTGATCCTAAAGTAAATTATACTTTTATATTCAAAATATTATTATTATAATGCATACTTATTCACTAAGGAGTTAATTATTTAAAAAAACTAACTTAACTTGTTTCAGTATACACCAAAATATTTCAACTATACTGACGTTATATTGATAACAATCGATAAAGAGAAAGAGAGTGTTTTTCGAATGGATCTTTATCACAAAAAATTTATTAAAATTTCTAAAAATCAGAATAAATGGTTTTTACATGTAAGATAATTAAGTACACGATAGTTTATTTGTCTTGTAAGTGTTCTTATTTTTTTTAAATAGAACATTCAAGGAGAAGGAAAAGTTAAAAACTTTCACGATGCACAAATAAAACTTTATGCATTTAATAATTCTCTTTTCAATACAGTTAAAAAAAACAAAATAACAGGAGAAAGTGGTACTTACATTTTTTATTTTAGTCTCACGGTTATAAAAATTTAAAAAGTTCTATTCATTTTATATTTATTATTATTTGTAGTTAAATTATGAAGTTAATTTTTGTTGCTTATTTAGAATTAGGTGATGGCGTAGAAACACGTATTTTTAAAGAAATAGCCAATAGGCTGAACGTTAAAGTGAAGTTGATTTCGTCAAATAGTGAAGATCATTGGAATAAGATGTGGCCGAATAGAACGTGGGCACCAGGAACGATTCAAATGCTGTATGATAGGGAAGTTGATGTCGCATTTGGTGCGCTATGGATTCAATATAGTAAAATTGGATTCATCGAAATGTCTGATTACTGGGGTTTTATGTGTCTTAAGTTCCTAGTACCCAAACCAATACCTTTGAGAAATAAATGGGACTTTTTGTTAAAGCCATTCCCTTTCAGTTTATGGTTAATGTTATTAGCAGCAACTTTAATTAATACATTGACGTTATGGATGGCTGGTATCGTTCAAAAAAAAATTGGATACAAATATATCGATAGTAAGTAGTGTTTGAGATCAATTTTTAGGTAAATAAATGATGATGATTCGTTTTCAATACATGTATTGAATAGTTTAGTACAATTTACATATGAAACATTTAATAAACAACAATTTTGCGAGGTTTAAAAAATAAAATTTTATTTAAGACTTTGAATTCCTATATAAGCACAATTAGAATAAAAATTTTGGGAGTTCTAAATTAATTTTTTCCCACCCTAAATTTTTTTATATAATAATATGTATAATGTTCTTAATTTTTGAAGAGATTAATTTTTTGTCTTGGGCTAAACCCTTACTCCCCTATGATGTCTTTTAATGGAATTTCAATCTACTTTTTTTATTATTATTTAGTATATTTTGGATGTTTATTTTTCATATTTATATATATACATTTATGAATTATATTTAATTGTATTGATTAAGATTGTCATAATAAAAAGGTTCCTCAAGGTAGTTTCTTAAAATTTGTGTTTGTTAATGAATACATTAGAAAATGTAGTCAATAAATGTACTATATTGTGACACATTTTTAGATATAGTATCAGAACTAAGCCTGTGCATTTATTATTATTTGGTTCAATTATCGATTTGACAAAAAAAAAATCGATTATTTTTTTCTGAGAATTGTTGATTATTTGATTGTATTCATATTGTGATATTATACAGAGTGATTTTTTTATCATAACCCACTCAATTACTTACAGAATAATAATAAATTAAATATTTTTTTTCGATTATCTTTAGTTACACATCATTCTTGAATTATTAACTATGTAATACTTTTTAAGTTCATCCCTTATGCCTGGTAAGGGTGTTAACTTTGTTTTTTAAAATGGGAACACATATTTTGAATTTAATAAAATGTTTGAGTTTTTAATTTAATAGTAAATGGCATTTGAATTTTTAATATAACTTTATTCATTTATTAGATTTAAACATTTAAAGTTTCAAATTTTTGAGTTAATATATAGGTATAATACACAAGGGATTACAAATACAGGTAGCTAATTGATTTTTTATGACATCGATATTAGCAGGTAAACAGCATTGTTATTATCAATGATAGTAAGGTACATTGTTGTGAGTTTATAAATACACTAACTGACAATACAAAAAGTATATCTATTGATAGTCATAATTGATAATAAACAATCCGTGACTGTGAAATATTTAATTTATTATTATTCTGTAAGTAATTGAGTGGGTATGATAAAAAAATCACCCTGTATAGCTATTATATTATTATATAACTTATTTGATAAATAAAACTCAAGACTTTACTTTTTTGTTTCTTTTAAACAAGTAAAATTTATCATAGCCAATAGAATTAAATTAATCGATATAATCGATTATTTAATACGAATCGCTTCATGCAAATAGGGCCTTAATTCTTACTTTAAACTTTTGAAAAAATATAAAAAAACTTTTGATATGTTTCAAAATACGTAAAAACATAAGGATTTGATAAAAAATAATAGATATTAAACAGCAATTATATTCTATAATCAATATTATCATTATAATAAATTTAGTCTAGATTAATAGCATTTAAGTCTTAAACCCTTTTTATAAAAATTACTAATTTCATGTATTTTATTTGTTTCAAACTTTGTATTTATGACATTAAAATAAAAATACCAAAATATCATCATCAAAAAAATGCCATTACCCTTAAAAACATCAAAACAGATCAATAAAAAAAAATATAACAATAAAATATTTCAAGTTGTAAATTTTTAATACTAAACTTGCTTCTATGTTTCCATATCAATAGGCTATATGAAAATGTCATCATAAATGTCTTTGTACAGATGGCCAATTTAAGGATATGTTTTTTTAATAACATTCATCTTTGATATTTTAATAGGAATTTTATCATTTTCGTAAAAACGAGTATATGGAAGTTTTATATCAATTTTGTATTTCTCTGGTTGCATAAGAGGAGATGTAAATTTAAGAGGACCATTGATTAATGGATAATCTAAAATAGTTTCAAATTATTCCAAAATGTTTACTTAGGTTTTTTTGCATGTCGCGATTCATATTATTGATTTGTCGTCGAATTAATCAAACAATCGATTAAATCAAATGTTATTTTTAATTAATTAGAAAAATTTAACACCCCAAACCTCCCACAAAAAATGTAGACAGCCTGACTAAAAACATACCTATTATTAAATACTCATATTTTCAATTTCATTGTTAATTTAAATGTAATATAATCAGGTACCGGAAACAGTAGCGTATTGGGGTGGGTCTCAGCTATGCCCTTGGATAATGTTAGTCGTTATTTATGCTAGATACTGATGTTGGCAGTGAAAAACCAACATTTTAAGTAATAAATTACTTGAAAAAATGATCACCAATTTTTTTTTTTTTTTATGTATTAGCTACCTCATTGAAAAATTCAGCGTGTATCACTGCCGAGTAAAAATAGTATATAATATAATAAAATATTGTTACCGTACTTATGACGTTTCAGAGTTTACTACATTATCATCTTCAAGTTTTTGGATTTTGGGTTCAATGCTTATGACTAGTTACCCAAAACAATTGCATCACCTTGGTCCCATACGACATTTAATAAATTGGTGGTGTCTTTTTATGTTTATCATAGCGACAGCGTTTTCCAGCGTTCTTTATTCACACATAACGTCTCCAGAATACACTAGTTTAGTTTCAAGTATTAAAGATATGATAAACAATGGATATACTTGGGGATTACCTTATCTACCATTTTCTGATCAAGAAGAAATGGAGGTATACAAATGAGAATAATTTTTAACTTTTTTCTATGAGAACTATAAAGAACAACAAATTTTAAAAGATTCATATTTTATTTAAAAATTATTAGATATTATTATTTATCTCTTTTAGAATCCATGGCACAACAAGTTTAATAAAAGTTTCATCTTAGAAAAAAGTACAGCTGATCGTATTAACCGTTTGAAGCATGGTAAGTATGCATTATTAACAGAATGCATCAACGAAAAATATTTCATGGAATTGCAAAACGTACCTCCATCGCTGTTAAGTGATCTACGAACAAAGAGAACGTGCTTAAACAATTTCTACCATGGAATAGGATTTAGCAAACATTCACCGTATTTAAAATCAGCTAATCTTGTCATAAGACATCTAGTTGAAAGTGGTATTATAGAGTATTGGTTCCATCGTATTATAGAAAAAAAACTTCCCTTAACTACATTTGATCGTGTCTACGAACAAAAGCCTCAGAGTGATCAAAACAATGGTCCATCATCCCTCACATATTATCAGTTAAGAGCTGTTATAGCAGTATGGTTAATCGGCTGTATTTTGTCAACTATAGTTTTCATCATTGAATACAAATATTTTACGATAGTCCAGGGGCATATTTAGACATTTTCAAAGAAATAGAAAACATCATAAGTATTCGTTTATAATAAAATTTCTGGTTAAAATTATGAATACTACAGTTACTATATTTACCCATCAAAATATGCGTTAAGATGCATTACTATCATCGTGCATTAATAATCAGGTTCATCTATTTTACTTTTAAGTCCATCTAATTAATATCCAGGAGTATCGTACCCTTCAATATCCTCTTTTTGCGGTCAAGTATAATAAACACATTTATTAAATTATTTAAAATATTAATAAAATGATATTTACAAATATTAAACGAGCACAAAAGTTTAATAATGTTACAGTTGAAATATTTCGAATTTTTATGATATATTAATTAATGACAGGAAAATCTGATAATTTTCGTATATTTCAATTTAAAAATGATTAAAAATGAATTTTAAGTAAAAATACAAAAAAAAAAAAAATAGAAAAATAAAGATTATCCCCTTTGTTATAACAGTTTATAAATTAATCAAAATGAGATCAATTAAAACTTCTTATTTAAATAATTAAAATAAAATAATTTTAATGAATGTAAATATAAAATGGTAGTATAGTACCCCACTTACTGTGCTGCGACCCCCGCAGCACAGTATGGACGTGGCATAGTCGGGGCAAGTATAGATGATATCTGACAGTGATTAAAATCACTATCATAAGAAACACTTCGATGCAAATCTGTAGATAGTGTTTAATTTTAAAATATTGGTAGATTATTTCAAAAGCAACCATAACTCTTATTCCCTTAATTTTACCCCGATTAGTTATTTGATTTATAATTATTATATATGAATTAATAATAATTTTAGTATGAAATTTATATTCAATAATTTAATATTGTAATTTTTACGGATATATTATAAAAATAATAAAGTAATTGTATATTTATATACTTTTAACGCGTATATAAATTTAAAGGGCTTGATGCAATACTTTTTAATAAACAAATTTTGTTACTCATGAATAAATACACTAGACTACAAGGAACTTTCATCAGAAACAAAAATATACTTTTCTAAATCAACTTTTCGCGATGTTTTCAAATGTGCAACTAGACTTTTTCTATCACTTCTAAGTTGTAATAGTATTACTTATTATTAAAAAATAAGTATTTACATATAAAAAAAAAATAATTAAGAACAAAAAAAAATTGTTTTAAATTAAAACTGATTTTGATTTTTACTATGTTAAAAATAAGGAAAATGACATACTTAACCTATTTTTTTAATCGTTTAAAGTTGATTTTTGTGAACGTTTATAATAAAAAGAAATTAATTTATTACAATATCTTTTAGCTCAATTGGCAAGTTTGAAATTGACATCATTAAATAGAAAATTTTATGAGAATTAAAAATTTGTATCGTTAAGATTAATATGCAGTTAGGAAATTTTATAATTACTATTTATAGTAAATTTATCAGAGTAGCTCAATATTTTTTTGAATTTTTATCGTAATAGATAACTTAAATAGAAGTAATAGTAATCATTTCCTAGTAACTTTTGGTGTTTAAAAAAATTCTGCAATTTAAATATTCAGAAGTTAATTAATTTTAATAATTTACTTTAAGTAAATGAACCAATCAAAACAAAGTTGTTAAAAAGATTTATTGAATTGTGCATATTATAAAATTTGATTATAATTTTAAAAATCTATTATTAATTCAGGAGAAACTAACAATCATTTATTTTTAGAAATGATTTATATGACATGTTAATAAAAAATTTTGAATATTATAATCTAGTAGTAGCACACACAAATAGAGTAAAGTATTATGAAATTACAAAGTAAAATGATTTCATTTTGTAGTTGAAACCTATCATATCAAACTTGATTCGTCAATTAATACTTTCAAAACATTAGAAATGAATGATTTTAATTGTCTGTATAGAGAACATGGAACAAGTAACTGTTTTATTGATTTTTTTTTCAATTTTTGAAGGTAATATCTTCAACTAATTGTAATAATTTGGCATATCGTTGAAAAATGTAGGTCAAGTTAGAGCAGAAAAAATAAATGATAGTCACGAAAAAAAATCTTCTTAGCTTTGCATCGAAGTTAAAACTTAAAATATAGTAAAATAATTTTAATATGAATAAGAAATTTCTTCTCGCGAGAGGCGACTACAGTGATAAGATCCTTGATCTTTATTGAAGTTATTGAATCTAAATGAGATAAAAACCAAAAGAGTTGAAAATTTAATCACATTTAAAAAGTATTAAGAAATAATTAAAAAAAAATTTCTTTACCATACGCTGGTTGGAACGAATCTTGTACCTCAGCGCAAACACAAGTTTTACCAACTCGGCAACCGTACGTCGATACCGTCGATTGAAAAAATTGGCTATTTAAGCTAAATTAAATTTCAAAGTTATTTTTCTCGACTTCAAAAAGCAAAAAATTTTAAATAAGTTTAACTTTCTATGCTATATCAGTAAAATTAATAACTTCTCAGCTTCGCATCAAAGCTAAAATTGTATTGATCCATATATTTTTCAAAAAGTAATAGCATTATAAAATTAAATATATAAAAAAGATTTTTTTTACAAAAATCTTTTTTTTTTAACTTTGATGTTAGTTTTCATCATAAAAACAATCTAAATTCTGACATTTTTTTTTTTAATAATGTATATTACATAAGTTTTAATTTAAGATATATATATATATATATATAAGTGTCAGTATTTCCAGAACACTTTCAAAAATTAAGTTGAAAAAGTTCTACTTTCTATATGCATTTTTAAGTTTTGAACCTCCCTGTATTAAGGGAAATGGTCTGATTTAAAAAAAAAAGTATGTAGAATGAAAAAGAAATATAAATATTATTTCCATAAAAAAGTTGTATTAATCCATACATTTTTCAAAAAATTATAGCATATTAATGTTAAAAATGTAAAATATAAAAATCGAGAATTTTAACATAAAAATAGCAAACGGTAGTTATTTTTACCGTGAAGACAAAATAAAATCCAAAATTTTTTTATTTTTTAAAACAAATTATATTACATAAGCTTTGGAGGTTTTCCCCATTTACGGGGAACGAGGGAAATTTTTTCAATAATTTGAGGGTAATGTCTTTGACTAGCTTCACATCGAAGCAAATATATAAACATAGTTTTAATATCATTACGTTTGCTAATAGGTACAATGATGAAACGCGTACCATTTATTTATTTTATTTGCAGTAAGCAAAGCTCATAAAACAGTGACTACATACCATACATTGCGATTATTGTAAACAACATTCATGAGAGAGCCGTGAACTTCATATATGTTTGCATACCATCACTATAGATTACTCTTAACCCTCTATACTTGTGATACCTGCTGTACTAACTATGAGGGGAACTGCTCTACAGATGAGTATACTCTCGACCTTTCATCAGTTATAGGAGAAGGACATATGTCTTTTACTATATCCTCCCGATCCGAACACCCCTTAGGTTACATACCTATGACTGATTAAGTTCATAAATTACTCCGCGGAGGGGCCAGCTCAGACTTTTTATATCTATTAATAAACCCTTAACTTAGTTAATATCTCTTGCCAATGTTGATCCTTTCTTTACTAATTTTTAGTTGTTGTATTCAATTTATTTTTAATAATATCTGTGTCCATACATATTTGTATTATTATATTTATAATATAAATTATTAATGATGTGAATTCTAATTGATTGTATATAATTTTGAGTGATGATTTAGCTTAGTTAATAATGTGACAATAGAATAAATTTGGTATTCTTTTAAATATTTGTTATAGGTAATTCTATTTTGTAGAATTTTTTCTCAAGGAGAAATTATGATAAAAACTTCCACATAATAATAAATAATTCTATTATTAATGATTATTATGCTATAATTATACTCATAATTACGTGAATATAAACATAGTACAATATTGCATTATGTTATATTATATGATATTCAAAATGACTCGTAGGACATATATTATATAATATGTTTTAGGAGTCAACTTGATTGCTTTTTATCAATTACAATAAAGTCAAATATAGTAGGAAGAGCAAAATTTTTAATTTTAAAATAATTACAAATCCCTCAAGAACTCGATGCCTTTTATTTACTCTTCACTTCTAATTACCTTTCAATAATTGGAAAAAATTGGTAGGGACACACTATGTCAAGTCTATACCGAACTACGTCATTTATTGTTAGATGACTTATTTTAGGTAGATTAAGAAAAATAAGTTGATGATATTAAAAAAATTTATGTAGTGTAATATGTATTTTTATTAGGACACTATTTTGCATTTGTACATAGCACTATATTTTATCGAGTAATATTATATGTTATATATAAATTTCAAGACTGTTATAATTATATAAGTTTGTACTTTCATTATCAGAACAGTACATTATTAATAATCTTTTTTTTCTCATATATGATGTATGTGTCTATGAGTTTACCATTTAAATTGGGATTCATCTATGACAACTATGCTGCCCAACGTTAAATCGCAGTTACCAATATTTTTATCAAAATTAAATTTTTTAATGTGTAATTTTTTAATGGATGTATTTAAGGGAGATATGGGCCCCCTTGAACCAGCGCTATCAATATTTTTTAGTCAACTTCTAATAAATAAAGACTTAATGTCCTTTTTTTCATCATTACTTTAATTTTTAGCAAAAAAAATTGTATAACATGTTTAACAAAGTAAAAAATATTAAATACCCTCCTAAAATAATTTTTGAATAGGCCTAAAGGGAATACTTCATTAACAAACGTCAATCTTATACTTAATACATTTTACTATATTCTCTTTTTGAATTTTCCTGATTTTAATATATTTTTGTTACACTGATTCTGATGTCATATTTTTTCTGCAAAACACTTATCGTGCCCGGCGTACCCGGGTACCTTTACCGGAATCAGTGGCCTACTTATGATGATGGCCCGAGGAGGCTTACGCGTTACTAACTTACGCCGAAGACGCGTAAGGCTCGTAGGGCTCCGGGTCTGGGGCGGAGCCTAGTCATTAATAATTTAATTACTAATATTGATTGATTCACATGATGAACTTCAAAACATCTACTCACCTCTTTTAGACAATAGCATAACTTTTTCGTTTTCTTCGGTAAAAATAATAAAACTATGATTTTTAAGTAGTTTATATATTTTAAATTATTGTTAAAGGTATATTTTACAAGGAAAATCAAAATTTCTCATTTTTATGGTTTAATCTTGTAAATATAGTAAATAGAATTAATAATATTATATGTATTATTATTATTCAGTATGACAGGCACTTATATGTTAAATAACAACTTATTGCTATTATTTTTAAATATGGTTTTTTTAATAAGTTTTAATTCTATTTTGAAAACTGTACAACATTATTACTGCGTTGAAAAGTATAATATAATAACACACCTATAGGCTACACCTTGTAAATAAACAAATCGCTTGAGCGCATAAATATGCGACATGCCTACTGTAAGTAATTGAAGACTACCAGTAGTTTATAGAAATTGTTTATATTAATAACACACACACACACTAATATATATATATATATATATATATATTTATAAATAATTTTCCCGTTCTAGTCATAAATTATACTGTAAATCAATGCATTTACATATATATTAAATCTATGTATTAGTTTCGATGCGAAGCTGAGAAGGTATTGGTTTTACTATGATGTGTTTTTTTTTTCGTGTGTCTGTTACCACTTTTTCTCAGCTCTCAACGAACCGATTTCTTTCATCGATACGTCAAAAGATCACAAATCGTATCTAGTCAAAGACATTACCCTCGAATTATTGAAAAATCCCCGTAAACCTCCAAAAAAATACAAATTTAAAAATCGCTAATTTTTAAAATTTTTAAAAATTTTTTTTTTTAAAACTGCTATAACTTCAAAAATTACCAAATTAATATACAATTTTTTATAAATACAAAATGTCATTACCTATCATTTGGTATATATTTTTTTATAAATTTAACCCTTTATTTTTACCCATATATAGTAACTCAAAATAAAAGGAGAAAATTATTAAGAAGATATTTATTTTAGTAATTAAAAGGATAATTTATTAAAATTATTTATATTTGTTGGTATTATATGAGCATGAGAATAATTGAGTTACTATAATATTTATTGAATAATGAAAATGATACAATATAATTTTTCTCTCGGGATATGAGTACGAGGGTATATGAGAAGATGTAAAATATAGAAAAACAAAGTGATGTTTGAAAATGTATTAATATAATAATAATTTTAAATAGAAATTATTGTGATTAATTATCACACATAAATCATCAACAACGCCACTCGTACCAGTAGTTATCTAGGCTTGTGCTGACTGTGAGTCGAGTCAATAAAAACCTCGAGTAGTATAGGAACCACAAGTGGGTTCTCTATCTTCGCAAGAGAGTCTTTATTAGTATTGACTACACAGTTAACCCACTCAAAGATTAGACTAGGCTGGCTAACTTCGTACAAACGTTATTGATTCTCTTTATTTATTTAGACAATATTTTATTCTAGAGATCACTTTACTTTTTCTGGTTTCCTACTTAATTTATGTACTCATTATATTTACTTTGAATATGAATTTACCTTAATGATTTCAGGACTAATGTTGAAAAAATGAATATACTTCAATTTTCTATGTAAAATCGTATTTTGTCAAGCCACTTCTTGCATTCGTTAAAAGTTCATAAGGTGAAGTGGTAGTGAGAGAGATTGACAGTTTTTATGCCCTTTTATATTAAATTTAATTCATCTATCTATGCAAGAAGTGTCACGACCTTTTACTATTATCTGTTTATTACTCAATTTGTGTTATTTATTACATATTATTTTACTTAAAATAGATAATTTGTCACAACTAAAGAATTTCTTATAATTATTACAGTAGATTTATATCAATGTATTTTTAGACATATTTCTTGGAATAGTTTAAAGTATTAATATGAATAATATTTTTAATTTGATGACTAATAGGTAATAACATATATACTACTGAATAATGAGTGGTGTATGTATTATAACACATAGTAGAGGATTTAAAATGACAACTTTTTCACAAAAAATTTATTTTTACACTTAACTTTTGAAAGTGTTCCGGAAAGTCTGACATTTTTTTATATATCTTAAATTAAAGATAATGTAATATAATTTGTTTTGAAAAAAAAAAAATTTTGGATTTTATTTTGTCTTCACGGTGAAAATGACTAACGTATGCTATTTTTATGTTAAATTCTCGATTTTTATATTTTACATTTTTAACATTAAAATGCTATAACTTTTTGAAAAATGTATGGATTAATACAATTTCGAACTTTATTTTGTCTTCACGGTGAAAATGGCTACCAAATGCTATTTTAGTGTGAAAATTAATAATATTTTTTAATAATCCCTTTTTCATTCAACATACTTTATATTAATAAGGAAATAGCAGATCATGTAGCTTTTGAAATAATCCACCAATTTTTTAAAATTAAACACTATCTAAAGATTTGCATCGAAGTGTTTTTTTTATAGTGATTTTAATCACTGTCAGATATCATACTTGATCCAACAATGCCAAGTCACCACTGTGCTGCGACCCTCCTGTGCTGGGTTCTTTTTTTTTTTTTAAGTTAATATTATAATTATTTATAAAAAAAGAAAAGATTTAACATGTTTGCATTATAATTGTCATTACTTTTTTTAACGTCTCTATACCTACTTTTTTTTTACTATTTTATTAAAAATAGTTGAGCCCAGTTGCATAACTAGGAGAGAAATAGATCCCCTCACCTATATTTTCGATTTATATTCGTGTTATTGTTATAAGGTTAAATTTAATTAAATTTAATCGTATTGTGTAAAAAGGTGGGAATTTTATCCTTTGTTTTTGATGTCTGCCGTTTCATATGCTTAGTTTTAATCAATGTCTTTTAATCCAAATGAACCTGAATAAAATCTAATTGAATAAATTACCTTTAACATTGAAAAAATTTTCCTAAATTAAAAAAAAATTATTCGGGAGCGCAATTTTTTCTTTTTTTAGTTCTCTTTCCATAATTATAAACGTTAATCAAGTACTGGCCTTAAGTAGGTAGCTGCTAAACCAATCCTAAAATTTACTTGTATTTGTAATTTAATTTAAGAGCACATTAATCTTTAATATTAGTACACTCTTATCTCGATAACAATATTATGTACTGCACATTTCCCGTCATAAATGAAGTCGACATGCCAATACAATGTCTTATACAAATGAATTTAGTCTTAACAATAAAAATTCCTCATTTATTTTATTACCTAGGTATATGACGGATTTTGCATTTGTGTAGGCTTATAGAATAATAAACTATAATCTATGCACCCTAGTTTATTGGCATTATGGTTCAAGTACACGATTTAATAACAAATCAAATTAATATATACAAAGTACATTAGTAATGGTTTTTATTTACAATAAATTTACTACTTAATTATGCTTCATTCGACATCCATATACAGAATCGCACCGTCCAATTCAACCGCTGCTAAATTTTTTTTTAGTTATCACAGTATAAATTGACTTATTTTTTTTCGAAGTTTTTAGAAAATTATCTATTAGATTATTTACATTTAAATGCCGCCTATGTATTTCACACCTTGCAAAGTGCACTGACACATCTGATTGATTAGTCTAACTGTAAGCAAGTATATTACTTATTCAGTTCATGAAATGTATCTGACAGATATTGAAACCAAAGTCTCAAATATCATTGGATTTAAGTGCAAAAATATATTTAAAAACCACAACAAACAGGGTTTGAAGTGCGCGGGGAAACGACGCAACAATGATCGAAACGCTTAGTGTGAACCGGTTCGTCCATCGTTGCGCAGCGGTCTACCGTCGTCGATATCACCTGTATCGTTTTATTAATTTATTTGCTGTGTTGTTTTTTCCTAATCAAATATTGCGCTCACGTTTATCATTTTAAGCTATAGTTAGGTTTTGTGTTTTATATTTTATTTTTAATTAATAATAATATTAATTATTCTGTTTCTATTATTTACTTATGTTTAAGGAATGAAAGGAAAAATACTGCAGCTGTGAAGTTTTCGGTTTCAACTTCATACCACTATCAGCAGTGAACCTGCCTACACACATAATTCCATATTTAGAACTCGATTTATTTGAAGGTCTTAAATTATGCTCTTCATTTTTCTTCGCTTTGAGATCTGTTTTATTTGAGCTGCAAAGATAGTAAAAAGCTAATATTAGAAATAATCATTTTCTATATAGACTTGCTATTCTATTAATATTATGTAAGTACCCCTTCATTTTCCTTATTATTTTACTATAAGTCTTAATAATAAGTAGGTGTGTATGTGGTTGACATTGATGGCGATATTGAATTATTTTAATCTCCTTTAACGGATGTACCTACCTACTTGTCAATAGTTTGAACAATTTGAATAGATTAACATTAAAAATTGAATTTAGTACTACTTAAAATATTCTTAAAAAACTTTATTAAAAAAAGTTGAAAATTAATTTAAAATTTTCTGAAATCTTTTATTCTGATATTTTTTATTATCTACTAGAGTAAACTTGAATTATGTATTTTCTAAAATCATTGGGAAGGTAAATACATATTGTTACATTTGATTTCGTCGTTTAACTATCTATTTTTCTTTTTTCTTTGGCATATAGCTTTATTTAACTAATTGAAATTTCTCATTAATATCGTAAAACAAAATTGTCTTAACAAATTTATAAATTAGCTGTTATAATAATAAAATAGTTATTGAAGGTAGATTAGGTTAAAATAAGTGTAATTTGTTGAAGATCCTCTACAAGTCTTTTAATGTGTAGCCCATTTTATTGTCTTTGCATTTTATATTTTACTATCAAATGACCTTTGTTATATTTATATGTAACCTTGAATTTTTAAAAAAAATTTTATATAAGAATTTAGACTAAAATTAAAATTAATGTTTTAATTTCTTGTAAAATTTTACTGATCTCAAAAAAAATACTTGTTAATACTGTTAATTTCACAAGGAAAAGTTGTTCTCATTGTACAAGATTTGTATTTATATTATAATTGTTTTGTAACTTAAATTTGTTTTATTTTTAATGAATCTAAAGTGAAATTTATAAATATTTGAATATTTTTCAATATAACATATGTTAATCAGTTATGTGTAAAAGATCTATTGATTTTTTTTTATAAGTCATAGAATTAATGTTAAAACATAATTATTCATTATAAACTATATGGTGTATTTTGTACAACCTAAAAGTACTTATATTTCTTATATTTGAGTTATATAAAAATAATTGGAAACCATTTATCTATTTAGTTGATTTTATTTAAAGATTATTTTTTAGACTATGAACAATTTTGTTTACAACAAAATTGTTTTGAAAATGAAACAAACATTTTTTTATTATAATGAGTGTATCACTTCAAGTTAATGGTAAATTATTATGATATTTTAATATAAAATGGAAAACTCAACACCTCAGATGCAGCATAGTAAACTAATACGGCCACCTACACTAAAGCGTGGGCGATCTAGTGATTTGCAAAGTAGTAAAGTAAGTTTCAAAAATGATATATTAATTAGTTTTAATCAAATAATCTTTTTCAGATAAAACTTGAAAGAGTCATTGGATTAACTGTATCTACAAATTCTTCTTTAGATGTAGATACCAATACAGGAACAATTGCTTATCCTGCAGGGTAAGTTTTATAAAACACTAACAGAGAGAGAAACCCAGCTTTGATCGGGGGAATGTCTGAATTTAATTTTTTTTAAAAGCTTATTTTATTCTTTAAAATTTTGAAAGTATGTTTATAATTTCATCCGTAACTATAAAGATATAATATGAACATCATATATCAAGCCAATAATTAAAAAAATAATTTTTGATCAGAACAACACTATGTTACTCTTAACATAAATTGTTAAAATACAAAAAAAAATTTAATAAATAATAAATTTGTTAATCTTATCAAGGTTTTAGCTTTAATGCGAAGCTGAGAAGATATTAAATTTAATATAATGTGTTTTTTTTTTTACATCTGTTGCTACTTTTTCTTAGCTCTCACTGGACCGATTTCTTCAACGATTTGTTAAAAAATCAGAAATTGTATCTAGTAAAAGATATTGCCCTTTAAAATTGGAAAAATTTCCTTTGTTCCCTGTAAATGAAGGAAATCTACAAAAAATTACAATTTTAAAAATTGGTAAATTTTGATATTTTTTTCTTACAACTGCCATAACTTTTTCATAAATAAACAAATCAAAATCATTCTTTTATATATAGAAATTTTAGGTATTTCTCTTTTATTTGAATTAAATTTCTTCAAAACCTGACTCTTTACCTGGCCTCTGGGGTATATTCAAAGTAGCAACTTATTCATAAAAGTAAATTTTTTCTTCATCTTCATTTTAACTTTTGAAAATTTTCAGGAATTACTGTGTCCTTTAAACATATGTTAAATTAAAACTTATGTTATGTACTATAAATTAACAAAAAAAAAAATTTGTACCGACGACTTATCTTATATTTGTAAATGGCTGTCGAAGTTTAACAAAGTTATTAAATTTTCTTCTTCTTCCTGACCTTAATCTCAACTACCTTGGGTATATTAATAAAATAATACATAGAAATAAGTACATATCCCTTTATTATAAAAACTTTTATATAATTTAAAATTAATAATGGAATTTTTATTATATATATATATACACTTATTATTTTATTAATTATTTTGTAAATGATTATAAAATGTTGTTTAAATGTGGTTTTAAGATGTACTGTGGTATTCCACAACTCAATTTTGGGTACAGAAACACATTTATCAAATATTTGTCGAAAATCAATTACTTGTTTAACATTTTCATCTGATGGTCGATATCTTGCAACTGGAGAATGTGGTCATCAATCAAATGTCAGAATTTGGGATATGACTGATATAACTCAAGTTGCTGAACTTCCAGGTCATAAATATGGGATCAATTGTGTGGTAATCAAAATAAAATTTCTTTTATTTGATTAAATTTATATTTATACAGAATAATTTACTATAGATTTGTTTATATTTTTAATTTAATAAATAAATTACACATTATTATAAAATTATAAAAAAAGTTATATCTAATAGTCAAAAAACAATATGAAGTGAAAGTCTATCTAATAATATAATAGTTAACAAAAATTATAAATTTTTTTATTATTATTTAGGCATTTTCTCCTAACCAAAAATATTTAGTCTCTGTTGGGTCACAACATGATATGATAGTAAATGTTTGGGAATGGAAATCTAACTTAAAATATGCATCTAATAAAGTATCTGCAAAAATCAAAGCTCTTGCATTCTCAGATAATGGCAATTTCATTACAATTGGCAATAGACATGTTAAGTTTTGGTATTTACAATCATCCAGATCAACAACAGTAATTTTTGTTTCTATACTTATACTATAATATTTTATAAAAAGTCATTCTTTTAATTTAATTATTTTTAGTATAAAGAGCCTGTACCATTGATGGGGCGATCTGCTATTTTAGGTGAACAAAGAAATAATGATTTTATAGACGTATGTTGTGGTCATGATGACTTAAAAGATTATACATATGCAATCACAAAATCAGGTTTATTATGTGAATTTAACAATCGCAGATTATTAGATAGATGGGTTGAATTAAAAGTAAATCATTATTTACAATCATCCTCATATGTATGCAAATCTACATACTTATCTATAAAACATTTTTAGACAACAAGTGCTAATTGTATGGCAATTGGACGAAATTATATTTTTATTGGTTGTGCAGAAGGTATTGTTAGATGCTTCCACCCTGGAACACTTCAATTTATCACAACATTACCACGAACTCATTATTTAGGAGTTGATGTTGCTCAAGGACATGACATTAGGTAACTGATTTTGAAATACATTACTTAAGATAGTTTTATAAAATAATTTATTCATTTTAAGTCATATGGCGAGTATCCCCAGTAATGCGAAGTACCCTGATGCTATAGCACTTGCTTATGATGAAATCAATACAAAATTAACATGTGTTTATAATGATCATAGTTTATATATTTGGGACGTTAAAGATATCAAGAGGGTGAGTTAATATTAATGTATAAAAATTTGAATTTTAATAATATATTTTTTTGTTATTATATTATAAATAATTTAATACAACAAATTAATAAACCTTAAAATTGATTAAATAATAATAAATATTTATTATTATTAAATTAATTAATGTTGTTTAATTTATAGGTTGGTAAATCAAATTCATTTTTGTTTCATTCAGCTTGTATTTGGGGTGTGGAAATGTATCCTGCATTAGAGAAAAATTTACAAGTACCCAATAATTCTTTTATAACATGTTCTAGTGATGATACAATTAGAGTTTGGAATTTAGATAGAATAGACTCTGAAAATAACTCTTTATATCAAAAAAATATTTATAGCAATGTAAGTATTATTTTTATCTATAATAAAGTTAACTATGATTAATTTGTAATTATAATTTATAACATTTTTAGGAATTATTGAAAATCATATATATAGACCCAGAATTAAATTATCTTAAAAATACAGAATTGAGTTTATTAGATAAAAGTGATTCATCTTCTTACGATGGAAGAAATGGAGTACGAGCAATACGAATAAGTCCTGATGGTTTACATCTTGCATCAGGTGATCGTTCTGGAAATATACGGTAATATTAAACTATATTTGTATTTTAATTAAGAACTAACTTTATTACTTAGCCAATTTTTATAAATTTCTTATAATATATAAAATGTTTTGCTTTAATTTTCCTAAATTTTTTAGAGTACATGATTTAAAAACATTAAAAGAAGTGTGTTTAATTGAAGCTCATGATGCTGAAGTATTATATTTGGATTATAGCAAATACAATGATAAAGTAAAACTATTTGCATCGGCATCAAGAGACCGTTTAATTCATGTATTTAATGTAAATAAAGTAAGTTTTGTATGTATACTTTAGATTAAAATACATAAACAGAAAAATAAGAACTATAAAAAGTATATTAATAAATATTTTTTTATAGGATTATGATTTTGTACAAACATTGGATGATCATTCATCATCTATTACAGCAGTTCGATTTATTAACTCTCAGAACAAACTTCAAATGGTTTCATGTGGAGCTGATAAATCAATCATATTTAGAAATTATAATGAGGTAAATTTATTTTATTTTATATTACTAAATTATTTTTTTTATCTTCAAATGACTAAATATTATAAATTATGAAATAATTTTAATAAAATTATTCGATTATATTTATTAATATTAATAAATTTATATTAACAGTATTAATAATAATAAATTATATTATTAATAATAATTAATTACAGGATGGTGAAAAAAATCATCAAAATGGTTTTGTACATGACCATTCTGTTTCTGGAAAAACGACATTTTATGATATGGAAGTTGATCCCAAACAAAAACATATTATGACAGCTTGTCAAGACAGAAATATACGAGTATATAATACTACCTCGGGAAAACATACTAAAACTTTTAAAGGCTCAGTTGGAGATGAAGGATCTTTAATTAAAGTATTAAAACTCTTAATATTTTTTATTAATTATATATTTAATACTACTATTCTTTTTTAATAACAGGTAGTTCTTGATCAAAGTGGCTCCTTTGTTGCTACTAGTTGTACAGATAAAACATTATGTGTTTATGATTATCTTGCTAGTGATTGTTTAACTACAATGTTTGGTCATTCAGAATTAGTCACTGGATTAAGATTTACTAATGATAGTAAACACTTAATATCTGCTAGTGGAGATGGCTGTATATTTGTTTGGCGTATGCCTTTAGAAATAGCCAAACATTCAAATTTACTCAAAAGAAATCGACCTGAAAAGTAAAAATAAAACTATTCACACTTATTTTTCTAACTTATTTATAAAATTAATGTTTTTTTTTTTTATATATAGACTTCCTAAACCAGTAATTATTGATGGAAATATCCCTCCATATAAGATATCAGAAGAAAAAGAAAATAATTCATTTAGTATTCCCGTGTAAGAAAAATTTAGTTTAATTAATTTTTCAAATAATTGAAAAACAAATATTTTTAAATTCAAAAACATGCAATCAGTAATTATAAGTTAAAATTTTAGAGATGGTCAATTGCCTTTATGGGCTAAAAAACAAGTTCTTTCTGATAATATGCAAAATGATACCCAGTTGAATCCTTCTATGAATCGAATAAATGTACCAAAAGGACAATGGGCTCAAAGAGCTACCAATTCATCAGAACCTAGTAGTATTTTACAAATTCCTATAAATAAAGATGATTCAGATTGCTTCAAGGATGATAGTTCAGTTGATAGTGGTACTGAAACCAGTAGATCAAATTATCCTGAAAGCCAAAAAGAATCATTAATAATTCCCAAAAAGGTAATTTATTTAACTTATTACCTATTGCTTTAAATGTATAAGTCTTTCTATTTTTTTAGTAGTTAAAATAGCTATAAAAAAAAATTAATTTGATTTTTAGACAAAACGTATTCCACCAGTATTTGTTTCAAATGATTTTGATGAAAATTCAACTGTTCAAGTGAATAATTATTAAATTAAATTTATGTATCTATTGTGATATATGAGGATCCAAAGTTGAAGGGATCAAAGTGTCACTTTGGAAAGAAACGAGATAATTGAAAAACTAAATAATAATATAAACACTCATTGAAAGAATAAAAAATATAGTATATTTATCATCAATTTATTAAATCAAACCGCATTGAAAAGGATGTATTTCTCAATTTTTAGTCACTTTGATCCCTTCGGCTCTAGGCACCTCGTATATGTATGTAAATTATTAATATTCTTCAATTAACTAGATAATTTTTTTTTAGATGGTGTCTGAAAAATCAAGTTCTCATTTATCAGATATTCATCGTATACGTAATCATACTGATGATAGCTCTTTAGGAAGTTTTAAAAATGAAGTGAGTATCTATCCTTTCTCTTGATTGCAAGTACTGTACATATTTTTTACGAATAAAGAATAAAAAATGAAACTAATTATTTAGGAACTAGAAAGCAATGACCATGATGGAGATATTGAAGATTCCGAGAGTGAATGGTTATCAAATGAAAAAGTTAATAATCCTATAATTTATTACCCCTCAAATAGTAATGATCTTATCAAGTAATTATTTTATTAACTACTTAAAATATTTAAAATTTTCAATTCAACATTTTAGTAATAATGTCATGTTTCAAATGTTACAGTGATTATACAATTACCAAATTAGATTCAGATGCTGCACTAAGAATGTCTCAAAGAAAATCAAAAGGTGTCAAACAAAAAGATAGGTTATTATCAGCAGGAATAACTGATCTATCTAGTCACTCAATGTCTGGTAGCCAAGGTAGTGATGATGATGATGATGCTACATCAACACCAAGTGGTGAAAGTACAGATAAAAGTCAATTAATGATGTTCTCTACTAGGTGAATTAAAATTTTTTTTTAAAGCATTATTTGTTTAAGATATTGATTTATATGCATTTATAAATATTGTTAAAAAAATGTTTATAAAAGTTATTTTGAACACACCATTAACTAGTGCAAACTTTTATTAATTGAATTTAGAATTTCGTAATATGTTGTTATTAAGATTATTGTATTGAGGGTCGATTTCCCTTCTTGAAACAAAAAGTATTTCTATGCTACTATATAATTTTACAACAAAGTTGTACAAATCTTGAAACCCTTCAAAGTGACTTAAACAAAATTTATAAATGCACCTAATTCACGCCCTATTTAATAGCTTATGTATTACAATGTTATTAGATCATTTTGTAATGATCTCATGCAGAATATTTGAGATCTATCACGATAGATAGACAATAAGTGTTTAAACAGTGTTTAGTTAACAGTTAATATAAAATCTTTCAATCTTTAATACACAAAGTTTAATAAAAATAATATCATTGTGAACATTCTAAAAACCAATACAAATAATTTCACAATCTCAATATATTAGGTAGGTAGTTGAGGTAAATTTTTTCCCTTTCAATTCTTGGAGAAAAATGATTAAACTATTACTCTAAAGTGATTTATTAGATGATTTCTGGGGTACATGGTATTATTTTATCTATTTTTTACCAATATTTATTACTTTCATTTAAAAGAAATTGAAAAAATAAATGATTTTATTTGGTCTAGACTGAATGTATTAAAAATTTATTTTATCATCTTTTGCTCGATCACATTAACCCTGTTGCTTGAAGTGATTGAGGATATATCCATGTTTGTAGTTGAGTTCTGACGTTTTGGACTCATTGCAGAGTCCATCTTCAGAGTGATAGTTGCTAGTCGGTGGCTGCAACTATACTGGCATATATCCTCAAGCACTTCAAGCAACAAGACAATCCATGAAAGCTTTAACACATTCACATTAACCCTCTTTTTTAATTTTTACTGTATGATAATTTGATATCATTTTCAATCTTGTTCATAATATAAAGTATATATTACAGCAATGAGCGATTGGATTTGATTGAAAAACGTGAACAATTTTTGAAAAATACATTTGAGTCACTTGGAGGTGTAGAACAAGTACATCAAGATAATAAAAACCATGTTTCAAGTATGTATTTATATTATGATATGTATATTTAATAAAACAATTTTATTAATGAAATAACCAAATTTTATTTTTAGGTAAAAGAAGTATATCTTCTCAGTACAAAGGATCTAGTGTACAGCAGAATACCAATATTGAGTCTCAAAATAAAAGAAATGAACTTCAGCAAAGAATAGAAGAAACTAGAAGAACTTTACAAAATGTATGTTACTATAAAATTATTTAATTATATATTAAGAACTTTTTGAAAATTTTAATCATTTTTTATGTGAACTTATAGTTAAGTACACATTCAATCTTAAAATCTAGTCAAAGTATATGTGACTTAAGTAGAAATTTTGGAAAATCACCTTCTAAATTGCCAGTTCGAAACAATTATTTGACTGGTATGATATAAAAAATCATAATTTAATCAAATAATTATTAAATACAATTTAATTGTGATATTTTTTTAAGTTGATAATCATATGAATATGGGTAATACAGTAAGAAGAGTATGTTCTTTAACAGACTTATCTACATCTGGACCTTCAAGAGAAGGGTCATCAAATAGCTCATTTAATAGTATGTATAATTATTGTCTTAACAAAAAAAGAATATATATATATATATATACATAGTGATAAATTGTGGGTGAAATACTTATTTTTTCAGAAACTATTAAACATTTTTATTAATAATACAGTTGAAAATTTTTTTATTAGTTTCTGAGAAAATAAGTGTATTACCCAAAATCAACTATTCTGTGTGTTTTAAATATCTTTTTTCTTTTAAATAATTTTTATAATTTTAGATTATATAGCAAGTTATAATGTTACATTTAAACTTTTCATTGTAAATTATTATGTTAATATATTTTTTATAGATCAAAAAGCAATGCCTAGAAGTTTATTAAAAAAACCAAAATCAGTAACAAGTAATATGCAACGAAGTAGTTCTGTTAGCGTTTTAGATCAGGTAAATTAGTTATATTGTTTATGTCTGTTTTTGTAAGATTGTAATTATTGATTATTATTTTTATTAATACTAAATATATTTTTAGAGTGATTCCGAGAGTGATATTAGTCAACTAGCAAATGGAATATTAAACTCCGGAATTCCTATCAGAGCTATGCGGCCCACAATTTCTTCCCAAAATAAAATGATTGTTAATAAATCAAATCTTTCACGCCGCAGAAGTTCTACAACTTCACAATCCACAAGTTTGTTTCTTCTTAATCATGTTTTATAATCACACTTTTACCTCCTTAGTATGTAGAAAATATTCTTTAAATTTTTTAAATATTGAAATTCATTTTTATAGATGCTTTAAACACAATAGGGCGCAATGAAGATTCTAGCTCTGAAGAGTTTTTTACATCATTACATAATAGGTCAATTCCAGTATCATCTCAGATAAAATTTCATAATTCTGAAAAGCTTAGGTATTTTAATCACAATTCACATATTTCTTATCCTTTTTTTTTTTTTTTTTCAATTTTCTGTGTTAAATTTATTAGACGTAACTCAACATCTCTTATTAGAAGTGTCAGTGAAATGAATTTGAAAAGTCCATCCAGCAAATTATTAGATAAGCATAAAAATCGAAATGACGTATCTCAAAAATTAAAAATCAATGAAAATCAACAAAAAAATATAAAAAGTATATCAATTTTATTCATTATAATTATCATAATAATCTTACACTTAAAATATATTTATTTTAGATCATGTATCCTTGATGGCTAATCAATTATTTCAAACAGCTGATAGAATTTTGGACCATATTAATGGTATCGGTGTTTCAGAAAATGGACGTATATCTAAAAAGGATGTAACTATTGTTATACACCAATTAGAGCATATTGTTGAACAAGGCGGAATTTTTTCTACTCAACTTGGTTCTAGTTCTGCAATAAACAGTATTCAAGAGTACTTGGATATACTCATTGATGTGATTAAGAAACGATCATCAAAGACTGATGTATAAAATCTATTAGGCAAAAAATTAGTTTTTTGTTAAATTAAACGATTTAGAAACAATAATTTATGATAGAGTTGGTATAAATTTTTTAAGCAGTGTGAACATAAAATAACTACGTGCCTTGTAAGTAACTAATAATAGAAACAGGGTAAATCATATACTTCTTGTGTATAATTTAAATGAAATATTATTTTCCTTTGTGGAAATTTTAAAAATAATTTATTATTTTCACTGCAGTTAACACTGTAATAAATTTAAATATTTTATTATTATTTTAATTTTTTTATATATATTTAATTCTATTTTGAATATCAATTTTAACTATCTAAAGTTGTTGAAATTTTTTACCAAAGAATTTTATTATATTCAATTTTAAATGTTTTTAATTTTATCAATATTATTCTTATTACTATTACTATAGTATTCATAACTGTATAGTATTTTTTTGACTAGTTTTATTAGCTCAAGTTCCTGATTCTTTGTTTTATTCATTTTATTGGCTTCTTCGGGTATAATTTTCACCATTTGTTTTTTATAATAGTATTATCGAGTTAATATATTAATTATTGAATAATTATTATTAATATATGTTAGAACTAACATAACTTAAGCAATATTTTTTGTAGTGCCTTATTATTGAACTAATGCTTGATGGAACTAATAGACTATTTTTTTTAATGTAATCCGTCCAAAATGTTTACTTAAATCTTTTACATTTTAGCATTGTTATATTGTAATATATAAGTACCAAACTAATTGTTAAATTTTTCATGTACTAATTTACATTCCATTTAAAATGTCTACTATGTCAACTATGATTTTACATTACTGTTACCTTATTTATATTATCATATATTATAATGATAAATATAATAACTTCTGCATATTTTTATCTCATTAATGTAATATGAGAAAATTAATTTTTGGATGTGCCTTTTATTTTACTTTTACTAGTCATGTAATTTTTTTTTTGGTTTAAAATTGTCAAATTAGAACTTTATCTACAAGTTTAAAAATTGTGTCTTTTATCAAATAAAGATCAGAATGTGATTGTTTCCGTCCATGATTATTATCTATAACGCTTTTCTTTGTATAATATTTAATATTTTAGTTTATTCATTATTATTATTATACCTATTCTGAATTACTTATTTTTTCATTGATTATTAAAAGTATTTTTCAATACATACTAAATTGTTTGTAATTAGTATACTTATAATTGTTGTTATTAATTATTTACTCCGTATACTTTAAATCAGTGGTCGGCAACCTTTTTTAATTCTCGGGCCACATTTACAAATTAAAAAGAGTTCGCGGGCCAGATAAAAAAAAAAAAATTTATAATTACATTATTTATTATGCAAAAAAATACTATCTAAAACTTAAAATAATAATATGACTTATATAAAATACTCGTACCAAAAACGCAACGTTCAATTATATTTATACAAAATGATATTCAATTAAATTAGTCGATTTAGAATTTAAAGCGGGCCGTATTCAATAGCCACGCGGGCCGGATACGGCCCGCGGGCCGCCGGTTGCCGACCACTGCTTTAAATGAAAATATAATAATAAACTATCAAAATAGATATTTTGTTTTGTATTTTTTCCATTTTTTTTGTGACATTGTTATTAAACAGTTATTTATAAAAATTTATGTCGTATTTGTTCTCAATAAATTTTATTCAGGCTATTTTGTTTGTAAAAAAAAATTACAATTAATTATTTTTTGTTTCGAATATATCAACGTCAATTATTTATCTATAATATATACATAAATAAACATCACTCTAGAAAATTTTCATCTATCAAAACAGGCGCAATTCATAAATGACGCACTACAGTTCCCAGTCCCCAGTACAACAGCTGACTGCTAAACGACACACAAACACAAAGAAACATATGGTTTGGTTTTAAATGTATAATTTATACATATATATATATATAACACTGTTACATGTACTACTGTGATAGATGTAATATACGATATGTATAGGTATACTTAAGTAGGTAACGGTTCGTAATAGTCGCAGTCGAGTAGTGACAAATCGCTCACAGCGCATACAGTAGCGCTGAGTCTTATCTGTGATACGCAGTAGGAGTAAAAAAAACGCAACAAAACAAAAACAATGCACTAGCCACTGTTGCTCAAGGGCGCATTTGATAACAATGCAAAATCGCTTGTTCTCGTTTTGTGCAGTTTTATTTGATGTTAAAATAAAGATTTAAAAAAAGTTTACGTATTACCGATTTTTATTGTAAATTTGTCGATCGTTTTCATAATCTGTGTTACCATTTCTATAATTATCCTCTATTGTAAATGCTTGTCAACTGCTAGATTGATGATTTATACAGGTCAGTACTAGCGAGTAGCAGCTACATAATACGCCTAGTTCTTCTACTGCAGACTTCAGTTTTAGTGACTTCATGTTATAAACTATATTTTTTAATATTGCATAGTATATACTGTACTGTAGAACGTTTATTGACATATGCAGAAATTCATTTAATATTAGATGTACCTTAATTTCTTTAAAAATGCTAGTATTTTATTTTGTTGCAATATTCGCCTTCAAATATATCTAATGATTCAAATTACATCTGTAATTAAACTGTCATTTTAAGTTGAATTATTTTAGCTAACGCAATCAAAGGAACATACAAAAAAAAATTTGAGGAATATGCCTTCGGTATGGGATCTAAAGGTAAGATACAATATTAAGTATTTTCCCCTCTATAAACTAATAAATTATATACATTTTTAATTAATTAATATTGTTCTTATAAATGTATACTATTTATATTGAATTTGTGTCCATCAGTTGAGTATACAATATAATATATTTGACCTTGTATAGTTTTTGTTCTGTTATCTAAATGCAAAATAAAGTTACATCTTAACATATTATTTGTACTGAGTTTTTTAGTTAGATATTCAGAACAAATAAACTCTTGTATATTCTATTCTGTATGATTTTTTTTAAATAGTTTTCCTATTATCTTTATTGTATAATGTTTTTGAGAATATTAACCAAAATTTAATAAATCAGGTTTTTTTATTAATTTAGTTTGGTTTACTTATAATTAGGATAATTTTTAAGGAGGCATCCTTAAAGTTAAACGATACATTGTAACAATTTTTATACTATTGAATAAAGAAAAGACAACAAAAGTGATTTAGATCTAACTGATAACAGTTATAACTTTTGATTTAATTATCATTATGAGATTTTTTAAAATAAAAATTGTCATCTTTAGAATATATTCAAAGCATATTTTTTATTATTTATCGTTAATAGTAATAAAAATCAAAATTCTGAAGTGCAATCCAAAATTTTTTTGGCCTTGGCTAATATAAAGGTCTAGTTTCATCTAGTTTTATAAGTGTTGTCAAATAGATTTAAGTACTCTATATAAAATATTAAAACTTAAATTAAAATATGGTTAGAATTAATATTTTGTTTAATCATACCTTATTTTAATCAACACTGATTATAAAGAACTATTTCTGAGATTTACAGTCAATGTCTGAAGTACATCCCTCCTATTACTAACTTATAAAAATAATATACAAGGTATAATATACTTTTAAAATTTTTAGATGAATTTAATACTTATTTAATTCATATATGGTAGAGTTTTAAAAAAATATGGAATATTTATTTATTTCAAATCTGGTGCTAAAAATTGAGGTGCCTCGTGCTAAACAATTTGACTCATATTACATTTTTTCTTAACAACCTAGTTTGCGCCTTTAAAGCGCCTGACCACAATGCACACCTTACACATCTCTAGTACCAGCCCTAATCTGGATTACATAAATTCAACTTATACTTAATTTTAAGGAGCTGCTAATTAACTTATAGTATTTAGTACTTACACAGTTAAACTTTAAATTAATATTAATTTATTGCAAATTCAAAAATATTTATCAATTTATAACTTTCAGACCACCTTGTATGGCCAAAACACGAATCTGATTTACAACAAGTATCTCCAGGACGTCAGTTACGGTCGCGTCTTGTTCAACTTTGTCCAATTTGTAATCAACCAACTCAAAATAAAGTCGGTCAACAAAATGTTTGCAACTGTAGTTTATCATCAACTCCAATTTCATCAAATGAACCAATTCTTTTGGCTAACCAACCAAAAAAGAAAAATCGTAAAATTATGTTACCAACTACAGCTTGTAAACGCCAATTATTTGATGCAACTACAAGTCATGAAACACCTGAAAATTCTGTGACTTCATCTGATGTACAAAAATCAACAGACCAAAAGTGTATTGAAAGTGGTGAAGGACAAAGTAGTTCATCTGTTCAGTCACCATTACCTACTTTTGGTCAAATGTTGAGAGGAAGGCATGTCTGTCAATTATGCTTCAAATCATTTACCAGTCCTTGTAAATTGACGCAACATTCTTATTCTCATACCGGAGAAAAACCATTTGTATGTAAACATTGTTCTAAAGCATTTTCTTCCAAATTTAAATTGGTACGTCATGTATTAATACACTCTGATCAACGTCAATATCACTGTAACATTTGTGATAGAACATTTCACAGAAAAGATCATTTAAAAAACCATGCAAAAGTTCATAATCCTATTAAAAGAACATTACAATGTGATCGTCCCGGGTGTTCTAAAGAATATAGCTCTGTCCTAAGTTACCGTAAACATATTGCAGTGCATTCTGTCGAAGAGGGATTTCTCGACTGCAAGATATGCAATAAAGTTTTTGAATCAAAAGATGAACTATTATATCATTTAAAAATCCATTCAGGATCTAGAGTTATTAAAACACCAGCTGACAAAAAGTATCGTTGTAATTTCTGTGACCGTTGTTTTTACACAGGAAAAGATGTTCGTCGACACTTGGTAGTCCATACTGGTTTACGGGATTTTCTATGCCAGTATTGTCCACAACGTTTTGGACGCAAAGATCATCTTACTAGGCATATTAAAAAAAGTCATAATATTAATACATTGAAAAAATCTAAACCAAAAAAATCAAATGATCAGTATAAATGTAAATCTGTTGAAACTGTATATCTTGAAACTTATGGTCAACAGTATAAATTAGAAAGGAAAATATCAGAAACTGTTACAAGTGGAAGTTTAATAAAACAAGAAAATCTAACTTCGGAAATTCCAATGTTTCATTCATCTGAAATAACTAGCTTTAACTACGGGGAAAATTCTTCTGTTATTCAAACAATTGTTTCTCATGGTGAAAATCCTAGCTTAAATTACACTTCTCAATCGTCCTACCCAGTTGATGAATTGAAAGAATTTAATACTAATTTAACTAATCAGTTACCAAATGCATACCAAGAGACAAATAGTACTGATATTCCTGGATTAACCCATCTAATTGACATAATACCACAACAATCATTAGATTCTGAATCTTCTTTATTAAGTGAACACGAATCTTCAGTAATAATTCAACAGCAGCCCGCCCATCATGTAACCATTGAACAATCTCAAATAGGAGTTAGTGAGTATTTAACTTCATCATCAGATATATTAACGGCATTATTAAGAGAATCATCCGAAACTGGTACCACTACATTACCTGGGTTTAGTCAAGTTTTTCATCAACAACAATAGTTCCATCTAGTAGAACTTTTGAATCTAGTCAGTCTTCCATAGATCACAAATGTTAACCATATTTGTTAATTCAATTGAATCGATTAACATTCATTTATGATTTAAAAGTTGGTTTATGAATAATAGTTCATTAAAAGCATAACTAAACTGTATTTGGTCATAAAAACGATGTCTTGTAACATTAGTATAACATGATAAAAGATACAATTGTAAAAAAATCCTTTGATAAGAAGAATTTTTGTTCTTTGATTAAGGTGTTCCTTTCTCGACTCATTTGTTGGTTTACTATTGTTCAATAGTTTTTAAACATTTAGTTAAAAGTCAAAACATATTTTATCTAGTCTTTAAAACCATGCATACTATATAGTGTTATATTCATAAAATTTCAAAATCATTTTATTTTCACAATTTTTTTAATAATATATAGTATGTAAGATTAATATGTTATAAGTTAGTTTGTTATTTAATAAGTTTAATTATGTTATTATGTAAAAATTATAATATTAGATGTTATACTTAATAATAAAAATGTATTATATTTATAGATTTTAGATTTAAAATGTTTGTCAATGTTATTATCTTAAATGTTTTTTGACATTTCCAACTAGCCGTCTAACAATTAATAAGACAACAAATTTTGTACTTTATTTTTTTTTTTTTGGTACATTGTAGAAATAGCAATTTAAAATTTGAGATATATTTTTTAATATTCAATGCTAATTTAGGGACCAAATCCAGTACTCTTAAGTTCCTAGTAACTCACTTGATATTATATGTCATAATGGTTGTTAATAAGACCATGTAAGATAGGGAACCTAAATATTTAGTGTCTGAAGTATGTACCTGTTATTTATATAAGTCAAATAAATTAATAAAATTTATTACTATTTTTTTAAACAGATTAACACAAACCCCATAATTATGGTTTTGTAAGGATATTTCAATCATTTTTTAACATTCTACAACAATTATTTTGATTATACATTAGAATGACAGTTACTTTAACTTCTTTTTTAGGATAAAAATTACCAAAATAAGTTTTACTTGTGACAAGTCAACATTTTACAGATAAAATGACATTGCATTAGCTTTATCACATTATGAATAACTCAAATGTAAATTAATCATTCATTTTTATAAATGATATCTCATTGAGTTATTCAAAACATTTAAAAATATTATCTTGTGTTCATTAATGCTTTAAAATAGTTTTTTTAATACTTTTGCAGTTATACGTTTTTGTATGGATTACAGCCGTTACCGTTGTTACCAAAATAATTTTATATGTATGATATAAAAGCTTTAAAGTTTAAGTCATAACTATATTCATTGGAAATTGTATATATTTTTTATTTATCTAAAGATATTAAGTTATATTTGTTAATTTATAAATTAATGTTGGTTTTATTCTTTAAGTTTTCAAGTGAATTCAATTTTCAAAACAATTTTATATATTCTATCTAAATCTTTAAAAATTTAAACTGAAAATGAAATATTTAAAATTTTAATATTTTCAATAAGGGTTATGTTTACAGAATTATTAATCCTAAATAGTTACTTACATTGTGATTGTTAACATTGCCAATTAATTTTATTAACATTGTACTCTTTGGAGACAGTGTGTTTTTATATACGAACATAAATATTATATTTTTATTATTTGATAGTTATAAACATAAAAAAAAAATGTATAATTGTTAAACTATTCTTTTACTTGGAAAATTATGTATTTTATTATTACTATTTCATGTTATATACATGTATAACGTAACATACATGTTTATTATTTGTTTTAAAACTATAACTTTTTACACTGTAATTTTAATTTTTAAGTTTACCTGTGATATTAATAATATGCGTTACGATAAGTACAAACTGAAATGTTATGTTATGTGGTAAAAAAAAATTATTTAACATTTATGAATAGCTTTTCATATGTCATATTTAAATTACACCAGCAGTTAATTTAAATAAAGCCTTGTTAATATTTATTGTAAACTTTTAATGTACGAAAAAAATATTACTGTTATTAGAAAATAAAAATACAAATATAAGATTAAGATACAATTAAATGCTAGATAACTCTTTCAATAATTTCTAAAAATCTAATATCATAATTTTTAAAGTAAACATTACTGTAATACTTAACTAGATATAAATTAATTCAAGTACATTTAATGCAGTAACAATGTCATATCTTTTAAAACTTAATAAGAAAATAAGTAAAAATAATGCTTAGATTCTTAGAGATCTCTAATAACCCAGTAAATAAAAATATTTGTATTAGATAAACAACTCCTCTGCATGCTATTTGTTTAAATGTCTTGAATTAGATTTTATTATTTAACTTTTAATAAAATATTTTTATCATAAATGCTAGTCCAAAAATATTATTTTGTTTTGTTAAATAATCAGAAAAAAATCACAAAAACCTAATAACTTTACAAAATTATTTGATTATTTTTAATTTTGCTGAAAATTATATTTATGTTTTGTTTTATTTTTATAAACAATTGTGGTATAATCAAATTGCCTTAAACCACGTAATTCACAAAATAAACGTAACAAGTGGAGTGATTATAGATTTGTAAGTTATAATTTTAAATGTATTAACTGTTAAAATAATATATGTATTAAAAAGTACTTTTAATTAAAATATAAAAATGTGTGCACATAAAATTATAGATGGAAATAATACAACTTATAAAATATTAATATATCTATGTTATACAAGAAATTTTTTTTTAATCATCTTTGTTTCATATAAATTGACCCTAAAAATATTCACATTTAATTTTGCCTTAGGCAAGAAACTTAATTATTTGATTAAACTTAATAAATGAAACTATTTATTAAAAATAAAATAATCTACTGAGTTAATGTAATATGTAACTGTTTAGCCGTTGCAATAAGAATATCTCTTCCTTTCTGTTTTAAATTCATGTTGCTATATAAATAATTTATTTAAAATTATTGATAAAAAATACAAATTATGTAACATTAAAAATTTTTACTTTTGACTAAAACTCGAAGTTTCTAGGATTGATGTTCCTCTGTCAGCTGTACGATTGTTAACTGTACAATTATCACCAAGAGGAGCATTTGTATCTTGATTCATTAAAATTGTATATAGTACTTGTACAACAGGTTCTAAAACCTCTGATTTTATTTTATTTATTTGAAATGATAGTGTATAAATATAAGAAATGGCTGATAATAGTATAACACAATCCTGAAAAATTATATGTTATAAATATAATACATGATAAATAATAAATATAATTTTTACATTTTTATAAGCATTAGATGCAAATATGTCAACTAAATTCATTGAAAAATATTTTCTTAATTGTACATTATTCAAAATCACTGTAGCTAACTGGTATGCAGCAAAAGGTATATCTGTAAGTTGTTCATTTGTATCTATTTCATCAATCTATGAATAAATTAATAGTTAAAAAAGTACAATACAATATTGTAAGTTAACAAATAACAGATTAAAAAAAAAATCATGTTATATAGATAACACACATTTTATTAGTAAATATTTTAAAAATTTTACTTGCCTCTCGAATTTCAAAAGCAATAATATGTATGATTGTTTCAATAAGTAAATAAAAAATTCTTTTAAAATCTTCAATAGTAACACTATACAAATGTAAAAGTAATGTAGATAGTTCACGTCGAAAGTTAGTCGGTTCCTATTAGTATTTTAAAACAAATAATATTATATAATAAACATGCATTGCTGAAAAGTAAAATCTGTAATAAAAATTTCACCCCTATAACGCTGGTAAATCGCGATTCAGTATATTTAGATTCTCCAAGAATAGATATAACACTACAGGCACAATTTATAAGAGAATTTATTTCGGATGATGAAATATTGTTCATGATTTTTAAATATTTAAAATATTTCGAAATTACAGCCAATGTTCCCAATGTAGAAGTAATAACTCTTGAGCCCAAATGACCTCAATAAATATATTTTTATTACTTATATTACATACATTATTAAAGTTATATTTTACAATAAACATAATTTCTCTTTAATTACTGTTGATAATGGATGCACAAAATGCAAAGTATTCTTCTAAAAAGTCACTTTCTACATAGGATATCAAGCACAAATTGAAAATTGAGTAGTTAACAAACTCGATTATATTAGATCCAAATGAATAAGTATTTTCATTTTTTTCATACCAGTTTTGAACAATTAAATCACTTGAAATGTTTATATAAAAAAAAAGAATTATTATTACTATTTAATTAATAATTTATTATAATTTGAGATAACTATTAGTGATATACTAGATAATTAATTTATTGTTGACCACTACATTCTCTCAAAATAATTTTAAATAAAAACTTAATTTTGTTTAGTATTACTAATTTCTTAATTTTTAAATAGTTAAATACTTTTAATACTCATCTCTTGTCTCTTATTTTTATAAGAGACATGGGATGAGTATTACCAACTTTATTTTTTTAATGCAAAATATATATTTAACTAACTTATATGAAAAAAAGTTATCCAACTAAGAAAATGACTGGTTGATAACAACATTTGAACTAGTATTTCAGTAGTTAGTATTTTCAGATATGATAATGAGACGTGAGTACACATCACTCTGCTACACTACTTTTCCTACTTAATGACTTCAAAATTGAGAAATAAATTCTACACAAATATGCCAAAAAAATGTTCAAAGTTATTATTTTAGAAGAAATATATTGGTCAATAATAAATCAATCACCTTTATTTTAAAATTTAAAAATATGCCAACCTCAAAATCCAATTGAAAATAGATAACTGATATTGAATTGTATCTTTTTTGCCAGACTCTCCTTTATTGCTTTGATAAACAACATGTAGTCTTATATGTAATTTGAATAATTCAATTAAAACTTCATCTGACAGTAAATAATTGTCTAAAACATTATTTGATGATATTCTTTTTTCAATTGCCATCTACAAATCATTAATTAAATTAAAAATAAGATACTTTACATTTATAATTAAGTACATTTATTTATTTAAAAATAAAATCTGTCAAAAAAAAAAAAAATGGTTAAAATAAGTATTTAAAATTAAAGACTAAAATTTGTAATGATTGATATTAAAAAAATTAAACGTTTTAGATCTAAATATTTTTGTTTTTAAATAAATATAATTTTATAAATTAATGAAATATAACATAAATAGTATTTAAAATAACATTACCTTAATTCGTTTCAAGTATACAAATAAATCATAAATATTTTTTTTGTTAATATCAGATTCAATAAGTTGACTTTGAGTTTGTAAATTATTTAATATAGAATTGACTAAAAGTATCCCTGTCATAGGTTTACATTCATCAACATCAATTTTAAACCTAACTCTTTTTTTTTCATTGACATCTACTTCCTTTAAAACAAATCTTATTAATTTAAGTTTATTTTACATGTTACACTAGACTTATCATGTGATACAATGACAGAAGTTATACCGGATATTGAGATTCATTAAGATCTAAAGATCGAAATGCTTCATCAAACCATATAGTCACACATTGCAATATTTCATAACCTCTTTTCCACATGCATAATGTGTATACTAAACAATTTACTTTACGCATATCAACTTCTTCTTTGCTATTTTTCATATCATAAGGCAACTTTTTTAAAGTAGATAATAATGAACTTGACACTGATACATGTGAACTTAATTTTGATACTGGTAGTAAACTTGCAAGATTAATTGCACTAAAATAAGCATCACCTTCCTTAAAATAATGAAAATTAACTAATTAATAATAAGATTATTGTTATAAAGAATATTTTCTAATGAATTTAATGTCATGCCTTATAAAATTTTAACAATTTAATCAAACAAGACACACAAGAACTTTGAACATCTTTGTACTGAGTTTGATTATTTTCTTCCATAAAAGTTTCATGATGAACCATCATTAAACAACTAACACAGTCTAAAATGCAACAAACTTTAGTCTGTTCATCTTGATTACTTTCTAAATTTTCACTGCAATTAGAAGAATTTTTGGTAGAGTTATAAATATCCATTTCGTTATCTATAAAGTTGAAATATTGTCGGTAAAAAAAAAAAAGTTAAAAAAAAATATTTTAATAACCACTTATAGATCCATCAATTTCAGAACTAAGATTTTCTTTAGTAGTGTCTATTATTTTTCCTTCTTTCTTTTTAAAAATCATATAAATAGTTTTCAATAGGGATAAAATAAGTGATGTGGCATTACTGAAATCTAATTTTGATTTAGAAAAAATCATTAACTTCCGACAAGCAGTGGGATTTAATTTATAAAACATGATTAGTCTCATAAGTGTTGCATTTCGATCAGGAACTCGGTCACCAATGAAATTATCAAAAATTAAATCAATAAACAGTTTACAATTCGGTTTAATCTCACTCTAAAAATTAAAAATTATATTTTTAATAAACAATTTAACATCTAATATAAATTTTACAATAGTAAAATTTTTATGCTATAAAATTATTATATTATTCTATTATATCATAGCATTTTAATATTCTATGTGTTGTTAGGTAAGTGAACTTTTATGTAAGCTAATAAATCATACAAAACTTTTTTAGCATCCTCTAAAAAAAAATCACTTAACCAACAGTTTTTGAATATAATGCACATAAGATATTAAGTAGTAAGAAATAAGGTCATTATTATAAGTAATGGGAACAATTAAACTCTTTTCCTCACTTGTTAATTATCCTACATGTTATTTATTACTGACAATATCTTATTATAATGACTATAATTTTTAATCAATTAAAAAGTAAAATAATAATTTTATATTGACTAACTTCAAGTGCTCTAGCAATATCACTCAAATTTACAATGCTAGCAAAATTTATTTTATTTTCATTTTCAGGTATACTATCAACTTTTTTTACTTTTAATAAAAAGTGTATAAAAGCACGTCGAACTTTTTCATTTTCATCGTTTAATACTTTTTTTAACTTAGTTTTAAACACAGGAGTCTTGAAGTAATTAAAGCATTTTGATTCTTCCAGAAGTTGACAAAATCCATAAAATATAACTTGTCGTACTTCAAATACACTATCTTCAAGAAGTCGAGCAAATAATGTAAAACACTGATTTAAACATTCTTCTTCAAATGTATTCCAGAAATATGTAAGACAACAACAAATTCCCTGGTAATTAAAATGATTTTAATAGATAAAATTTATACATCAGAGGTAAACTACCACAATTTTTTTTTTAATACAGTATTTTGGAAATGCTTATACAAAGAATATATTGTAGATAGTCTCAATTCATTTTCAAAAAAAAAGTTACTGGTGACAGTTTACCTATGGAATAAAGAAATATATATAACTGTTCTTGAAAATATAAGAAAAATTCATAAAAAAACTAATCTAAGGTACTAGGAAAAATGACTAGCACTTGTCCACTGTCAAAAGGTAACACACAAAAGACACTGAAAATTATACTATGACATTATATTCTTTATTTACCTTATATAATTGTATTATATATACAATTTTTTTATCCTTTAGACAAAGAAATCTAAATAAAACATTTTTACACAAATTGAACCTACCAATAATTTTTCATAAGTACGCTTAATTTATATTATTAATGGTTCTATAACCCAAAAATATTATAATCGCAAAATATGAGATTGTAGTAATATAAAAAATAATTTTGTATGATAGTGAATAGCATGAAATATATACTTTTAATGCTGCTATTCTAACTTGAGGACAATTATCCTCCATTAATTTTAAAAATGCATTCTGTTGTTTAATTAAAAATCTTGAAGAATTTTCACGGCCTTCACCTCTTTTTTCCAAAGGATACACTACAGTTAGAATTTCAATCGCATTACATCGAACAACTCTAAATTCACTCTATTAAAAATTAAAAACAATAATAAAATAATATAATAATACAATAAAAATACAACATATCATTAAGACAATACAAATATTAATAATTTTGTAAATATAAATCTCTTACTAATTGTGTGAAATCAAAAAAGTAATACTTATATTAAAATTATTATGATGATGTACTTAACTTATAATATTAGAATACCCTTATTATTCATTTTTTTATTTACCCCTATATATCTCCAAATAACTGGTGCATATAATTTTGTTACAACTTTACTAAAAACTAGATGTTTTCTATGACTTTGCATAATTTTTAAACTGTACAATGTGTTTTTAAATGTACTGAATGACAGCCCAGTACGTTTTAGAACAAATACTTTGTTAATTAAATCAAAAATTCCTTGTTGCTCAATAACCTAAAATATATTTATCAATTTTTTAAGTTAATTGATAAAATATTTTTTTGTAAATGTCAGTAGTAATCCAATAATTCTGTATAACAAAATATCATTCAAAATTAATTATATTTTTTTCATAAATTAAAAAAATATTATTTATTAGGTTAAAATTGTAGACTGAAATTAAAACATTTATTTAAAAAGAAAGTTATATCAAAACTAATGAATACAAAATTACATAGTGAATTCCAAAAAGAGACAACCTACAAGGGTATAGAAATGCTCATCTTTTATTTGCAGATAAAAATTCTGGTTACACTACTATTGTACAGAATGAGTCACAAAGATATGAAAAATCTAATAACTTGTAATCCAATTAGCATTTTGACATTTTTTAAATATTTGTAGTAATTTTAAACTACATTCAAAACATATTTAAACAAATATTTATCACAAATAAAAAAAATTAAAAAAATTTTCCTTTTATTTTTTCAAAATTGGTAAAAATTTCTATTTTTTTTAGCTTTTTCTTTTAAAAAAATGTAATGGTTTGATAATGATTTTATAAAAATTATTTATTTAGTTACAAACACATTAATACATAGAATGAGTTTGTAGTGTGGATGGGTGCAGCCTCTACTAGTGTATATACACTTCGACCAAAATTCCATTCCATATGTATTGAAATGCTTGTAACTTGATAAGTATTTATTCTTAAGTTTTTATCAACCTATCAACATTTTATGTAAGAAATGGCTATTTAAATATTTAAAGTAATAATAAAAATTGTATTGAACATAGTCTAAAAAAACAATAGTTATTAAAAAAATTTCAAATAAATGATAATTTGATCAAGTTATTAGATTTTTCATATGTTTGTGACTTAATATGTATAATAATAATAATTTCATTCAAATAACTAAAAAAATTTATCTTGGAAAATACCTCTTTCATAGATGCATTTGAATTAATCCACCCAATAAAATAAATTTCTCCGTATGCTTCAGCTTCAATTTTTTTAGCACTAGGTAAATTTTGTTTGACAATTTGATGATACCTCTAAAATAATCTCAAAAATTAAATATAATGCTACATAAAATTAACAAAGAAAAACTTATTAATAGAATATACTTTAAATAACTGATGATTAACTGTGTACACTTCAGCAATAATCAACTTTCCTGTTTCTGTTCCAAGAAACATGGGACTTTTCATTATTTTTTCTAAGTTATGTACAATAAAACTTAAAATATCTCGATTAGATGACAATGAAGAAAGATCCTTGCAAAATTCCCATAGTAATGTTGACAGAATTTTCTGTATAGTTAATTTTCCTTAATTAATATTAAAAAAGTTATATTTTTAAATAAAAAACTATTTACCATGTCACATTTTTTTGTAGTTACTTTAATTGTTTCAAATAAGTAATTAAAAGTTGGTTCAATATTTTTTGCAACAACACCATTAAAGTTTAAAAAATCATCAGTTTGTGGAATTTTAGTATTATCTTGTGCAGCAGCTGTATTTAATTTCCAAAAACTTAAGCACATTTTAATTATTTCCATTTTAAACTAATTTTAAATATAGAAGAGACAAAATACATTTGTTGAAATAAACTAAAAACATGTCATATTTTTTTTAATGTTACCAATGGGTACCTTGGTTTTATATTGTTTTGTGTATAAGTTCTGTAATAAAAGTAGTATTTTAATTAGTTCTTCATTTTCATAAACATGATTTATATCATCTGAATTGATAATAATATGATGTGAAAGATCTAATATGAATTGATAGCTGGCAATTTTATTAGTATCTTCAGTTGTATCTTTATTAGAGATCAATGAATCTCTCAGAAAAACATACAACAAATTCCATAATTTTTTTGTTTCATTTTCATTTAAATCAATTAAAGAATCAACCTAAAATTATATCAAGTAATTTTTATGATAGAGCTCATGAATAAACTTGTCAAGTAGACTTAAATTTAATAATAAAATTGTTGTTAAGTCACTTATTTTTTATTATAAATTTTAATTACATGCTTTAACATTATTATTAATATACAAGAAGGGTAAAGAGTACCTTTAAATTAAATAAAAAATTGTAATTTTAATAAAATCCTTATAATTTTGAAGCAGTCCAATAAGTAACAATTAACTTGACAAGCTTATTTTACATAAAAAATGTATATGAAGTATTCATTTAAAACTAAAAGTTACAAAAAATGAACAAACTTATCAAATAATAATCAGTAACTTAGCCTTAATTATGCCAAGAATCAGATAAATTACTCACAGCTTGTAAAAGTTGTTTGGCAGACTCCGGAATCTCATTGCAATATGGCAAAGCTAATTTAATAATATTAAATGGATTTTTCGAACTCATATCAATTTGTTTAATGCTTTATAAATCTTTACAGAAATAATTTCGAATTTTAGTATGCCTATTTTTATTTAATAACAAGCAATAAAAGCACTATATGCAGACAAAAGTGAAAAATGTTTCACATATTTTGTTTAGAAACACGACATATTAGATTTCCTAATAACTGTACACCAGAAACTTATTAAAAAAAATAAAAATTAATCAACTGTTCGAAGAAATACACAGATTTTATTTTTACAAAAATACAAATGTTGCTAGTGATTATTACTGATAAAACTTTATTTATTTAAAAATGTATTTTTAGTATCGTGCATGGTTTAAAGCAGTGTCGACACAAAATCGTGGGGTACGTACTTTAAGAGGCCTTGCATATAACAATGGCGTAGTTAGGTTATTATTTTATTAAGAAAATCTACATAAGAAAAATTATTATTACCACTTTAAAACGAAAAAAATTGTATCTTTATTTATTTATACCATATAATTATTTTTACTAGAGGAACCTATACCACTTCAACCCCCGCCACATTAACAAAGAGGCTCCGCAAAACCTGGCACCGTCACTTGTTTATAGATTATAGACATCATAGAGTTGAGATGTCCTTAGTATCTATAAAAACAGTAAATAGTATTTTTAGAGTATTAAAAAAACTTTAAATGAATTATCTAACATAAAATTTCCACACGATTAAAAAAATAGACAAATTTTTCATCTCAATTCGGTACTGCAAACATTAGTGTGATTTTCGAATTATATTTAAAAAGAAGCTCTATAAATTACATATGACTATTTGTTCCCATTAAAGTAAGTTATTGATTTAGCTAAAAAATTTTCAGAGTTTCTTAAAATTTTTTGCCATAGCAAAATTTTTAGCACATTTCATATTTTTGATATTATTTAACATAAGTTTATCTATAAATTCATATTAGTCGTCGTCTTTTTATTTTAATTTATATCCCAAAAAATAAAATTTCTGGTTGCATCATAAGGACTCGGGAACTACCTAAATACGCCTGTCTCTCTCTGTAGATCAAAACAATACAACCAATTTCTCTCCAAATTATACCACTGTGAAAAATAATTGTTGTACAATTAATGCCAACTTAATTTTTATTTGGTACAAATTTTTTTAAATAGAGAATTAGGGTTTATTTTTGATATTGGAATATTATTATTATCTGATTTGTACTAATTATAGCTTTTCTAAAAGATTATACTCGTATATAAGTGGTTCTTATGCATCAATTTAAATTTAAAGCATTAATACACGAGTGTAAATAAGGTGGCGGGAGAGTCATTTTATTAAAACAAAAATAATTACAAAGTAGAAATACAATTATTTACTCTTTAGATGGTCAAAGAAAACATTCAATATGTGTCAGAACAATGTCACTGATAATAAGCGAACAAATTCAATAAAACTATGGATGTAAGATCTTAGGTATTCCTATGCTTATTTAAACTATTTTAATATCGATTCAAACTACTTAATTAACAAAATTCATTCAGAAATAAAAAAATTCAGATTTGTAATTAAGTATTATAAATAGTTAAATTAACTATTTATAATATTTTTTATTTTAACTAATTGAGAACTGTTTTTACTTGAATTAGTTTTGTTATGTTCAACACAAAAAACGTATTTTAATTTTCAAGTGATATTATTGCAGTGCAGAAAGCACTGCGAACGAAAAATGTTGATTTATCACGACTGTGAAGTTAGCAATTCCTATATAGCAATTCCTTATCAGATATAAAGCTCAAATACACCGCTAGAGGGCGCCACTTATTTAAAATATATGTTTTATTATAAAGTAGTTACGAACAAATTCCGAAGGGTATTCTTTTAAAAATTATATTCAAAAAAAAAACTTATAAAAATTATAGTAATTTTTATATGGCATCAGTCAAAAATGGTACTCGAGTTTCCAAGTAACCCGTTT